GGCGTACGGCACGACTCGGCGAGACGCGTGGGGAACCTTCGCGCGGTCGTCGGGACGCGCGGCGACGAAGACGGCGTCGTCGCTGAGCAAATGGAACAGCGAGCATCGCGTGAGCGAAAAAGCGGTCGCGGCGGTGACCACCACGGCCAAGGCGGCGACGGATTTCAACGACAAGCATCGCGTCGTCGAGACGATCGGTCGAACCGTCTCGACCGCGGCTGAAACCGCGTCGGAACTCAACCGCCGGTACGAGGTCACGGATACCATCGGTCGAGGCGTGAGCACTTCTCTGGACGCGGTGACGCGCGCGATGTCTCGCGACGGCTCGCGCGCCGCCGCGTCCGCCGCGTCCGTCGCGCCGTCGTCGTAGACGTCGAGCCGCCGTCGCGTCGCGCCGCGCCGCGCCCGCGGTCGGTGAAACGGTCGGTGTGTGTAAAAAATAGAAATCATAGCCCGATTCGTCCTCGAGTACGCACGCTCCGGTGAACACCCAACGTGAACACCCACCGTGAACACCCAACGTGAACACGAAAGCCAACACCCCGCGCGACGCGTTTTCGCGATCACCGCGTCGTCGACGTCCCGCGTTCGACGACGCGTCGAGCGCGCGCGCGTGGACGACGACGACGATGACGCGCGTCGATGAGGACGCGGGCGCGGACGGCGCGCGGCGCGGACGACGCGCGCGGCGCGGACGCGCGACGGGACGACGCGCGAGCGCGCGCGAGCTCGGCGCGCGAGCGGTGATCGCCTCGACGCTGTTCGCGAGCGCGGTCGCGAGCGCGATCGGGATCGGGATGAACGCGAGCGCGGAGCTCGGGGAGTTTTTTGGCCACGGCGCTGGGGATTGGTTGGAGGACGTACCGCCGAGCACGCTCGCGCGGGCGTGGCAGCATTACGACCACGTCGGCGTTTATAACGACTGGACCAGGGTGGGGAACGGCGTCGGGCTCGGGAACGTGCCTGGGGATCAGATATCCGCCGTCTGGGTCAAAGAGGGCTATCGTCTTCGTCTTTGGCAGCATCCGAATCGAAACGGGCTCGTCACGACGTTTTACGGAGGATTCTCAAACTTGGCGTACAACCCGGGAGACTGGATGAATGACAGGGCGTCGGACGCGGACGTCGAGCTCGAGGCTCCGTGCACGATCTTTCAACACGACAGAGGCACATCCGACCCTGGGATGTGGTTCGACGCCACGAGCGTCGGCCATCTGTACACCAACCTCGGAGGAATGGACAACAAAGCCGACAGCGTGTACGTGGCGCCCGGATACAAGTGTACGCTGTACAAAGACATCGGCGAGGGCACATCGGTGACGTATTACCCGGGTTGGCACATGTATCACGACCTCAATAACGTAGGCCTGTTGAATCACGTGAGCTCCATGCGGGTCGACTACGCGCCGGGAGGGTACAACGAGCTCGCTTCGGACGCGAAGGCGCTCGCGTGGAAAGATTATCAAACCGGTACGATGTCGAAATGGGATAACACGGGGAACTCTCTCGACGTCGGCGCCGCCGGAGGAAATACGATCTCGAGCGTCTGGGTGAAGAAAGGGTATCGTCTTCGACTCTGGGATGGTGCCTCGCGCACCGGCGCGGTGGCAACCTTTTACGAAGGATACACCAACTTGCACTATCGCGGCGAGTGGTTGCCCGACAGAGCGAGCGATGTGGACGTCGAGAGTGTCGCACCGTGTACGGTATTCGATGGAGAGGTCGGATCGGGCGCTTGGTATGATCTCTGGGAGCCCGAAAGAATGTATTCCTATGTCGAAATCAACGCGGCGGGAATGGACAACAAGGTCAATTCCCTGTACGTCGCCCCTGGTTACAAGTGTTTGCTGTGGACAAACGACGCCAGCGACGAGCTGAGTGGAAACTTCTTCACGTTTTATCCCGGGTGGCATTACCATCACGACGTTGATTGGGGTGTAGGGGTGAACGCCGCGAGCTCTTGGCAGGTGCGGAGCCTCACGCAGAGCGCGGAGGAAAAAGGGTGTTATCCCGCGCAAGTGAACGGCGCCATGATCTTCGCGGCGAACTCGCACGAATACTCGCATCGCGTAGACGTTGGCGCTGACGGTACGGTCAAGTATATCCAAGGAAATGGACGGCACAAGTGGACGGAGATCAATAACATCGTCTACGCCATGAAAGGTCGCCAACCACTCGCGTTGGAATCCCCGTGGGTCAACTATGGAGGCGGATACGCGTCGGCTTCGTACTCTTGCTCCGATGGAATAGTCTCTCTCGGAGGTTTGATCAGGGGCGGGGCGGCGCCTTCCCGCATCGCGATTCTCCCGAACGGTTGCCGCCCGACGCAGGGCATTCTCGTTTTCAACGGCGCGACGTCGCCGGACAAAATCGTGAGGATAGAGATTCACACGAATGGGCACGTTTGGGTGCAGACGACGCCGACGCACTACATCTCGCTTGAAGGAATCCATTTCGCTACGAGCGGTCTGGACGAGATAGCTTTACACCACAATTGGATCAATTACAACGCCGGCTTCGCACCTGCGCGGATTTTCTGCGGCTGGCATTCACGCGGGATCGTCTTGTTGAGCGGCATGATTCGCGGTGGTTCGTGGGGACAATGTATGGCGTATTTACCGAAGCACTGTCGTACCACGGAGTATTACAGTTGGAGCGTGAATAATCACGCAAACCAGGCCCGAGTGCAAATCCGCCCGAGCGACGGATGCGTCTACTGGGTCGCCGGCGGACGCGACCACGGCTGGCTCTCTCTAAGCGGCATCACGTTCGTGACCGGGAGGAAGGAACGTGCTTCATTGGATCGTTGGTACAACTATGACAGTCACCATGCGCCCGCTATGTACGCGTGCGCCGAGATCGGTGGGCTCGCGGTCGTTCAAGGTTTGATCAGACCTCACGAATGGGGTGGGAACATGTTCAAGCTTCCCGCGCCACCGTCTTCGACGTGTCCCATGAGCTCACCGAAACGGCTCCTTTTCACGGGAAATCAAGATGGCAGCACTCAGCGGCTGGACTTTATAGAAAACAGTGGCGACATCGCGATCGCCGGCGGTTTTCGAAATAACGCGTGGAGCTCCATCTCGAGCATAAAGTACGCCAACTCGCAGCGCCACAGTCTGTCTATGGTTAACGGATGGTACAACTTGGGTAGTGTGTACGCACCGCTCACATACACGTGCTCGGGGGGCGTCGTGACCGTGAGTGGCTTGATAAAAGCAGGAAAATGGGGACACTGCATCGCCTATCTCCCCCCGAACTGTCGGCCGTTCAGAGACCGAGATCTCACGTTCAGCATTAATAATCACGACAATCAGGCTCGGGTGACCGTCCGCGGGAGCGACGGGTGCATTTATTGGGCCACCGGCGGACAGGCCCACGGTTGGATCTCGCTCAGTGGAATCATCTTTTCCACAACACAAAACAGGGATTTGCAGTTGGAGAACGGGTGGAAAGTGTACGGGGCTCATTGGGCGAGGCCGGCGTACTCGTGCGTCGACGGCCTCGTCATTTTGAGTGGCCTCGCGAAGGACGGGCGTCAAAACCACATCGCAACGCTTCCTCCCGGTTGCAGACCGAAAGGAGGAGACCTGATATTTCAAGTAAACCACCACCAGTACCAGTGGCGCGTGAATGTTCGCACCAACGGTAAGATCGACGCGTGGGGACATCACGCGCACTCATGGGTTTCGCTCTCCGGCATCGCGTTTTCCACGAGCGACACGCCTCACACGTTAAAGTTGCGATCCGACTGGGCGCCGTACGGCCATGGTTGGGCGCCTCCCACGTTTTCGTGCGATCGAGGTATACTGTCATTGCAAGGTTTGGTGACACCGACGCGCGGTGCGGCGTCTCAAGGAACGATAGGTCGCGTGGAGTACGCGTCCCCGCCGCCGCCCTCGCCCTCTCCCCCTCCACCGCCGCCGCCGTCTCCACCCCCTCCACCGCCGCCGTCACCGCCTCCACCAGGGGCGAAGACGGGCGTCACGGTATCGCTCAGGAGCCCCGCGAGACTGGTGTCGACGTTCTCGTACGACTTTGGAGTTCTAGTGACGCACCCTACGTCATGCAACGGTGACTGCTTTGAGTCTGAAATTGCCAGGCAAAACGCGCGTGCCGGCGGTCTTCGATGCGAGGTGCGCGTGCAAAAGGACGGCGTCGATTGCGATGGAAAGTGGACGAATGCGATGCCGTGCAGAAGTTGGACCGACTTTCAACCGCGGGCTCTCGAGATGACGGATAAGAGTGGAAAACTGGTGAGCGGGACATATTCGATCAAATATTCCTGTTACTTTGTGTTGAACGACGATAAAACTCACGTCCATCCACCGGCAGAATCGTGGAAGTCCCTGCACACATTCCAACTTCTCTCGGGCTGCTCAGACAATATCCCGGCGGGCAACGCGCAGAATCCTCTAGAAAATGTCGCAAGGCACTTACTGCTCACCTCAGACGAGTTCAACGTCGCCGATTGTCGGGACCAAGTTCAAATATACAAGGCAAAAGAAGCCATCTTTAGAAGATACGATAACGATCCCGAGGATGGCAAGCTCTCGCGCACCGAAATCACCGCGGCACTGAAGATGCAGAGTGCCGACACGCACATTATGAGCGCGTGGGACGAAGAGTTGGACGGCGCCTTGGAGCTCAAACCATCGCAAGTGATGCGCGCGAAAACGAACGACATGGAGTGCGGCGAGGGCCTCATCGTGTTCGATGGTTCGGTCTATCCTACCGATAGCCCTGGTCGCGAGAGTACTGAAGAGCAGTGTCGCCAAAACGCCACGGCGATGCGTGTAACGTGGCGTTACACAAAGCCAGTCACTCTCGGCGACTACGCGTGCTTGTTTGTTGACGGCATGATGTACGACAAGCGTTCCGCCGTGGGAAGCTCTCCGAACAGCAGAGACTACTCGCTCGTGGACGGAGTCTACGTTTCGACGGAGCTCACGGATATTCGTCCAGTCTCTGGAAGTTACGAGGACACTCAGGAATCTCTCATCGCGAACTTTCTGTTCGATGACGCGAGTGACGCTCATCGCATCGTCTCGGCTTCCACACCGGTGAGCGGCGACAAAAATCGTGGTGTACCCGATCTAACACCCGTCGATCGACCGAGAACAATCGACCGATGCGAAGGCGGCGACGGAGCACTCTGTTTAAAGCCCGTTAAGTCGCCCGGTGGCGCGCGATACAGTTATCGGTACGGAGACTTTGATTTCACGGACGACGTCGCCGTCACGAGTTGGGTGTACGGAACGTGCGGCGGCAATGCCGGAACGGATACTCAAAAAATGACCATAGCGTATTTCGTAGGCACAAACGGTGGAGTTAAGCACGTGCTACAACTTTACCTCAAGCCTCAAGGCGGGTCATTGAGTTTAATCGTGGAGTACGCGCAGAGTAGCAAGATTGATCGTCGCTTGGAGATCTCTGGCATCTCTTGCCGCTCCTGGTCGTACGTCGGATTTGCCCTGAACTCAAAGGACGGTTTGGTGTTGTTTGCCAACCCCACTGGCAACGTTGGCACCACTTCCGACTCTGCTTCTTACAAACGAGATCGCACGATGCCGCCGAATCAACCACGAAAGATCCTCAAATTGATGAGCCAGTTTGAGCTCTTTGGCGCTGTTGACGTCGAATTTGATGACACCCGAGTCTACACTGGACAAGTGAGCCGAGCGACATTCATCGACTCCTACAATTGTGGGCATCGTCCGGTGTGCGCGATAAGAGCGCATGCGACACCAGCGTCGCGACGTGTCGTGTGTGCGAGCGTTGTTTTGGCTGGACAACCGTTGGAGACGCATGCTGAAACGTTTTGTACAGCGGCGTTGTATTACGACGGCTCGGCCATCGACGTCATGGCAACGCTCGGTATGTCAGGCGTCACGTTCACCTATCGAGACACAAGTTGGCAAGAAGTTTCTTTCGAAATGCTTCGTAAATCGGCCGCTGACGTGGCGTCGAGCTACGAGACAGTTATTCAAATGGACGGCGATTTACTCGGCTGTGTGAACAAATTCAGCTCGATCACATACATGGATCGCGACGCCGGGACAAAACCAAATCTGCTTTGGTACTACAAAGTCCGTACGAAAACGTCCGCAGACGTTCAAGACTTTGTTTCCACCACTCACTTTTTCAAGGTGCCATGGATTGGAGAGCTTGAGGGTAAAGTGACGGCGGGCTCATCAACGTCTCCAGTACCTTACGTGCGCATCTGCGCTGATTTCTCGTTTTCAAATGGCACCTTGGTCACTCCGAAAAGTGACACCGTCACGCGCAACCTCGCGCTGTACATGCGTGCAGAGCACACAAACGCAATTCATGCAACAGCGAGAGAAGACACGTTCGTCGTTACCGACGGTGACCCTTCGCCAGAATCAGGTTCGTCCTTGATATCACAGGGCGAGTACCTTCGCGTCCAGCTCGCGCGGTGGAGCTCGATTCACAAAGTGCAGGTTTGCGTGACAAAATCTTCCGTCGTGCCAGAGGCGCACGTGCAAGATTACGACTCAGGAAATGATGGAAACCATGGCCATGCCTGCGCCTTCGACGAATCGTCGACAACTTTGGACGCTACGTACGCGTGCTATAGTTACAAGTGTGAAGGCTCTCGCTTGAAATCGTTTCATGGTAAATTCATCACGGTGAGTGTACCGTGGAGCAATGGCGTCGACGGGTCATTGCCTATGGAAGGAATGTATGCATGGTTCGAGAGTCAAAATGCCAGTGCAGTTTGGCACAGCTCTGTTGGAGCGCTGAAGGGCGAAGTCGTGGGCGGAGAAGTAACCGTAAAGACGGAGGCGGGCCACGGCGCGACGCACCCAGTGCGCGCGCTACACGGAGACTCTAAATCCAAGTATGATTTTGGACGCGCCATACCGGCTGGGAAGTGGACGTTGTGCACGCTGTCGCGGTACACGGGGGCTAATAAGCAGCGGATATTTGAAGGCACCGGCAACTTCGCGCACGGGCACTGGAATGGATTGCGAGGCGTTGCCTACTACGATGCTTGGGTGACGAGTTACCAAGTTGGTCATGGTGTGGTCGACGACTGGCTTGTCATGTGCGGTACGAACGATGGTAAACGTGCGTACGTTGACGGTACGAACGTTGCGTTGAGTGATAGAAGCGGTGCCTCCAGCGACAAGTATCTGGGCATCAACTACGCGAAAGACTGTGAACATTGCGCCAGTGAGCGGGCCACTTCCGACTGGGCAGTCGCAGAGGTGATGATTTGGTCACGCGCGCTCTCAGATGCCGAGATGATCCAAGTGACGAATTACCTTCAACGCGTGAAGCTCGGTCCGAAGGCGCAGATCACGGAAATATCCACATCTGCGGTGCAAACGAACTGTAGGTTCTCCTCCGTCACAGATGCAAATGGGCAGTATGAGTTCATTATGAAGGATACATCAGAGACGATTCCTGCAAAAACAACGGTGCTCGTTGGCGCGTACAAGGAAGAGACGTTTCCTCTCGAGGCGTTGCGAGTTGTTGAATCTTCTAGTCGCGCAGAGGCGCCGAAGCCGTCGCAGGTATTGCTCGTACTCATCAAGCAAACGGGCTCAACGGGCCCTTCAGCCACGCCTCGGCAGATCGCCACAGTTGACACGGACAAATCGACGAGTGTATCGCGAAGCGAACTTCAGGCGCACATCGAAGCCATCACGGGTTTCCCGACGACGGGGCGCGCGATCATCGTCGACTCTCTCTGGAACGAGTTCGATTCTGATGGTGACGGCTTTCTGAGTGTAGCGGAATTCAACGCGGTTTCCGTGAAAATGCGCACGGGTGAGCTCAAGGTCGATCCCCTCCTTGTCTATCCCGTCCTCGACGCCAAATACCTATCAGATTTCGTCGAGGAATCCACGAAATGCGCCAAGTTTGCACTCATCCGCGAAGGTTCTGCGGCGCTGCCTCGAAACTCTACGGATTGGAACACCGTCTATCAGAAACTCGTCTCGTCGCAAGCGGACCCACTCGCGGCGACGCACCGTTCATGCGACAAAAAAACGACGGCTATCTCGCCGATCGGGGATGCTAGGTTGACCCATATTGTTCCACTTCTTGGATCAGGTCCGAGTGGGAACCTGATTTCGCTCGCAGCCGATGCGGCAAGTCCATCCGAGGCAGATATCTACGCGCGCGTGATCAAAGATACTAGTTCATCGACAGTGCTGCGTGCCACGCAGCGCTACGACGACATCACGCATATATTCAGCACAGGACTTGATTCAGACACGAAGCACTTTGACGTGAATATGTTTTCTAGCGAGGCAAAAATGAACGCCAGCGAGGTTCAATTCAGGCATCGCTCCACCACTGAAATGCAGTTTCAGGATCAAACCACGGTGATCGTCCGCGGAGCAGTGATATTTCCAAAATCGCGAACAGCTGGTTCCACAAGATGCGGCCTGTACGAGGCAAGTATCAAGGTGAACGAAGTCGACGGTGAGGGTGAGCCGGAAGAATACAAGACAGACGAGTCTGGTTGGTTTGAGATCGCGGTAACGCGCGGTAAGTCGTTCACATTTTCCGCATCATTCCCCAATCACACGCTGTGTTACACGGGACGAACCGTTGCGGACGCTGCGATGGAGGTTGACTGCTCAACGCACCCTATGGAATTTACGTTTGTACGCATCATCGATAACGCGTACATCTTCTTCACGGATGTCACCAAGGGTAACATTGATTTGGGACTGTATCAAGGTCAGTGCGAGACGCTGTACAAAGGGGCGAGGTTCAAAATCACGCCCGTCAACGGCTGTCATCCATCCCAGTATGTCACGTCGGATCAAATCGGTGGTTGGATGGCGAACACTCAGGGATTACCCGAAGGTAAGTTTACCACCGAGGAGCCACTTCCGACGAACGCCAGGGTGTGGCCTTTTGCACCGATGGATTACTCCATCATTCTCGACTCGGGACCGGACCTCGGACCACTGGGCGAGAAGATAAAAAATGAACCTTGGTTCAAAGGATGCCAAACGGAAGATGGAAGCGTCGTCGACTTTTTCAGGCGACGGAACGCATTGGAGAGACTCGCGTTATTGCGCAATGAAAACGCTTGGCAGCAGATTCGTTACAAGTATCACGGGTGGATTTGCGTTGACATTCCGGAGGCGTACGTTCCCGTCATCGGCGAGGCATACAAAGACACGACGTGTTATGATCCTTCGCAACCTAGCGGCTCCCTCACGCCTAAGCACTTTGTCGGGGCGTCTCACGCCACAGACCTACCATTTGCGGTGGAGTCTAGCAGAGAGATTCACGTCAAAGTTTTTGAAGTTCACTCAAATCCAAGCAAAGAGACGGGATACGACACATGTTTCGCCGCGCTCCCAAACAAGGCGAAGGGTACTGGGAGCACAGTCGTAAAAATTCGTCAGGACGTAACCAATCCAGACGATTCAGAGTGTCACTCTGAACGCGGCGGTGGGGTATCGTGTGATTTCGATGTGGAGCTCACGAAAGACTCAGGGGAATTAATTTTTCCTCAGGCAAACGCTACGGGCGCGCCCGTCACGGCGATGATGATCGAAGCCGGCGCACCGAATCTCGCTGGTACGCACAGACGCACTGTGAGCGTGGAAGTGACCAGAAACGACCTGTTCGTCTCCGTCGCGACGAAAGCCATCCGAGAACTCATCGCTCTCGGGTCCAGACCGCGAGTCGGCGATGGTCTGAGCAACTCCGTGAACTGGGCGACAGTACCGCTGGAAGGTTTGGTTTACTGCGTCGTGCACGATCCACCTGGAGGCGATTCTTACGCCGAGCTATCATCTGGAACACAAACGACGATTGAGTACTCGCTCGCGAGCAGTCGAGCCGCGAAGGTTGGAGGCAAGTTTGAATCTGAGAGTAAGAAGGGAGGCAAGGGTAAATTCAAGCTTGGATTGAACTTGGGTTATACGGCGGAAGCGAGCACCGAAATCCTTAACGGAGAATTCGAAGGAGGCGTCGCTGGCAAGGCCAACTTCAAAGCGCCGGAATTTTCGGTGAGCTCGAGCACGGATGAAGGCTGGGACATTGTGCTCACGACGCAGCGCGCGCTGCGCAGTAGCCAGGATCCCGAACTTCCAGGGCGAGCAGGTGATGTGATTCTTGGTGCTGGTGTCGAGTTGGTGTACACAACATCGGACGTTCTCGACTTTTCCCCGAAGAGAGACGGCAAACACTGCCTCGTGAGCGCGCCTCACATCACTTGGATGCCGCGCAAGCCGACATCGTACGTCGTCAACGTGCACGAGATTGAAGCCAAGATAATCCCCAATCTCAAGTTTTTGCAATCCGCGGCTCTGAAGGGTAATATAGCGGTGGATAACTCCCTTCGTCCCCTCGATGTAAATGTGAATAGCGTACGTGCGGTGAATGACGATTGGGCAGCGTACATCGCAAGAAAAATTGACGCGTGGAATCGTACACTGAGCTGGTCGTCGCCGGTAGATGACGCGGCTCTGAACTCGATACTTGGTTCATACACAGGGCCAGAGTCTATGATTGGATCACTTCTCGGAGAGAAAATCGAAGAGTACACGGAACATTTTGAGGAAACGGAAGTGTGGAGTTTAAAGGACGGCCCGATGTTTGACTTGGCGAAAGAGTGGATGGAGTACGCGTCACTGGAAGCCGCCCAAGTTGCTCCCGCGTTAGCAGGCTCGGCTCTCATATCGCCGAGTACTGCGGGCATGTTGACGTTGTACACAGCAATAAGTGGCCCTCTTGTTTTCGCTTCTGAGGCTCGTTTGCTACCGTTTATGGAGTACGACGGCCCGGCGTCAATAATCAAAGGCAGCAGAAAAGAAGTCATTCCAGATTACGATGAGCAACTTAGGCATGACAGCGAGGAGGGATCATATTCATTCGCGATGCAAGAAGCAGCCAAGGACGCGCGGTGGACTCCTATCGATTCGGAGGGGTCTTCGTTAGACGCGGGAAGTGCTGAGAGAATCGTTGCCTCCCTCACGGGAGGGACAGCATCCACAGGCGTGCAGAATGTCGGTCAAGCCGAAGGCGAGAAGGGCGACATCTTCCTCACCTTCAGTGGCGGCGGACATTCGATGGACTTTTCCTTCTACTCGGATGAAATTCTTTCGGACAGCTCATACGCGGTTTCTCTGGAGGTGAGTGGTGGCTTCGACGTAGGAGGCGAGTTTGAGATCAAGTCGGAAGTTAGCCCTGGGTTTGAAGTTGAATTCAAGACGGGCGCCGAGGCTTCGTTTGAGCGTTCCATCGGCAGAGAGCGCGCGTTTGCGTGGAATAAACGCGGTCTCATGACTACGACCTACACCCTCGGGGACCCAGATCTCGGTGACAAATTTGTCGTGCACGTTGGCGCCGACAAGAGGTTTGGGACTCCGCTGTTCAAGACGATGGGTGGTCGTAGTAAATGTCCAGGAGAACTCGGCACCGTTTTCAGAGAGTCAAGCGTCAAGCTGATGGTGCCCTTGAGCACGGGCGTGCCGACCGAAGGGCTTAATCCGAGTCAACGCGCCATTTATGAGATCGTCGTGGAAAACTATTCGCCGTACAGGGAGTCGTCCAAGTTTGCTCTGCGCGTCGTGGACGGTCTCAGATCGTCGATCGACGAGGTGATCACCGCCGCGTACGACGCATCCGACGCCGATAAGTCTTCGAGCGAAGTTGCGGAGAGCGTGAAAACCGTGGCGGCGCTCACTATCGCGAAGAGCTCGGAAATGATATCGTCCATGGTGTCGGCGGCGGAGCAAGCCGCCGCGAACAAGACACCTCGAGAAGTAGCGGACGCCGTGTACAACGCCGCGAAAAGCGCACCATATCAAGGCAGCGAGCTGGCAGACTCGATATTCTCAATCAACGGCAAAGTTTTATCCATCGGCGACTCATTGCCTTTGAAATTCGTCGAAGGAGACAGCCTCACGAGACAGACGCACATTTCTCAGCTTTTCATGAACCTCGCGGTCGAACCTGGTTACTCGACGAGAAACATCAAGTACTTGCAACTCAGTTTGGTTAGTCTTTGCGAGTCGGAGATGATCAATCTTTATAGAGACGCCATCTCGTTCACACGAAATCTCAACCCGATGAGTTGGGAGCAGTCGTGTCCAAAGGTGCAGTTCGATCAGTCGACAGTGTCCAAGTATCTCACGTCGAGCGTCTCTCCTGAAACTTCGAGCGTGTTGAGTTTGGTCGTCAATAATCCCGATCGGTACGTTTTGTGGCCAGATAGTCCAACAACGCCGAGTGATCCTTTGATGAACACGCGCCTAAAGTTTGTTCGATTGCAGTACCGCCCGGTGAAGGGTGGCGAGTGGATCACAGCGAAGGACGAGGGCGCGCCGGCGCACGATAGCAAGAAGTTCAACTTTGTGTGCGCGTTATCTCGTTCGGATGGATGCAGGTTCGATTGGGACACGAACGGTCAGTATGAAAAGCTTTTAAGCGGCTTCAAAGATGGCGTGTACGAGCTGCGTGTTAAGAGCTTCTGCGGCGGCGCTTCGTCTCTCGCGGATGCTTCGGTGCACGAGTACGTTTCCGATCAAAGATTACTTCTTACCGTCGACACCGTAGCGCCGGTTCGCTTGAGAACATTCAGTGAGGCGCAATATTTTGGTGCAGAGTTTGCGGAAGAAATCGACTGCTCAGGCGTGAACGTGTACGTAACGAAGAAGCGTTCCGATTGTTCGGATTCCGCCGCGACGATGTCCCAAACGGTGGATGTGACGACCCCGCCGTATCAAATCAGATGTTTCAATTCGACGGGTCGAGGCGTCTTCTCTGTGAAGTTCGCCGACGATGATGTTGGTCAGTATCAGATTTCAGTCATCGGCATCAAGGATGGCGCCGGGATCACCGCTCTTCGCGTCGACAATTGGTTCAAAAAGTGCGAAAAGAACAGCAACTTGTCCAATGCCCCGAGCGCGTCTTCGCGTCTCGGCGTCGCCCCAGAGCGACGTCACCGCGGTGCATCCCCCACCTTGCCGTCAACGCACGAAATCGGCGTGCCAGTCACGATTTTCATCGCCTTGGCGATCGCCTCGGCCTTCGCCGCCGCGATTGCGTCTCGGCGGGTCCGCCTTGGCGCGCCGACGAGCGATTCCGCCGAGCGCGCGCCGCTCGCCTTCGCCCCCCCCGGCGCCAAGAGCGGACCGGATTACGGTTCCGTCATCTAACGGGGCGCCGATCACCGCGTCCGCGTCCTCGACGCGTCCATCAGACGCACATTTTTCTCTCTTTTAATAGCGCAGTCGCGCACCTCACCTCTCACCGGTCCCACCCACCCGAGCGAAAGCGAACCGTCATCTCGATCGTCCCGACGTCCCGTCCTCGCCCCTCGGCGCGCCGCGACGCCGCCGCGACGCCCCCCGACGCGCGCGCGCGCGTCTAAAATTACCCCCATCCCTCCGCGCCGCCCCGACGCGGCGTCGCCGTCGCCCTCGACGCGACACGAACCGTCGCGCGCGCGTCGTCCCGACCCCAGTCGCGACGACGGACGCCCCGCGCGTCGTCGTCCCGCGCGCGACGCGACCGCGCCCCGGACGTCGCGGCGCCCGACGAGCGCGCGTTAAAATATTCCCCACGTCCTCACCGCGCGACGCGCGTCGGCGTCGACCGCGCGACGCGACGCGGTGCCGCGACGCGCGCGCGCGCGTCTGCGCGACGCGCGCGGTGATGGGCGAGCGGGACGCGGCGAGCGAACGCGCGCGCGCGCGGTCGCGACGGCGGCGGCGGCGACGACGCGAATGCGTGGTGATGTCGTCGGAAGAGGCGAGCGCGGAGGAGACGCCGAGGAAGAGCGCGCGGGCGTCGTCGATGCGAGATCGACGAGCGGACGCGCTGGCGAGACATCGAGCGTCGTTAGCGACGGCGTCGCCGGGCGCGCGGTTGGAGGCGTTGGCGAGGACGGATGCGTCGGCGTCGGCGTCGGAGGCGTCCGTCTCGGGCTCTGAGGAACGGGATTTCATCGATGATTCAGGAGAGGAGGCGGAGACGTCGAACTCGAACGAGAGTGGTCTCGCGACTGGATGGCGAACGGTGAGTTTCGGCTCTCGCGCGGACGAGGCGCTTCGAAATGATGATGTCGCGGCGTTTAAGCGATCGCTCGCTCGGATGGAAGATCCACCGCGACCTGGATTGGCGTTGATGGCGGCGGCGGCGCACGACGCGTCGCGAGTGGCGAGCGCGTTTCTAGTCAAAGGCATGCGCACCTCCGGACGCGTCGAGGACAAGACGTCCTCGCGACCGCACGTGGACGACGTGAGTGTGGCTCTACACACCGCGTGCTCCAAGGGCCACGTCGGTTTCGTCCACGCCATTCAGAAAATGATTGGGTTGAGGCAATTTTGCCGCGGTCGTCGCGGCGGTTGGCCCGTAAATTTGACCGGTGGATCCCTCGTGCACTCGGCGGTCAACAACGATTTCCCGAGCGCCGAGTGCGTCAAGGCGGCCATCATGGCTGAGTCTTCGCCATTATGTGACGAAGAGGGACCAAGAACGCCGACCGCCGGCGTCTTTGATGACGACGCGAGAGGTAACCGCACGCCTCTCATGATTGCTGCGGGCGCCGGCGCAACATGGGAGACCGTTGTTTGGGAGTTGCTGCAGGAAGCGAGGCTTACTAACGCATCACGGGCCGTAATTAGGACGCACGACGCAATAGAAGGATGCACGGCGGTACACATCGCCGCCGGTGCGGGCAGCGTAGCGACGCTTCAGATGCTGATTGATGAAGTCCCCTCGTTTGTGGACATCAGAGATTTTCAAGGAAGCACGCCTTTACATCACGCCTCCGCAGAAGGTCGAACGGAATCGATAAAGGTCTTGTTGGACCGCGGCGCTAATCGACTCGCCGTGGACAAGAGTGGGTGGATTCCGCTCCTGTATGCAAATTTCCATAGCGAACGCGAAGCAGTCATGCACTTGCTGAGAGCCGACGCCGTCGAGCAACTCGAATCCATGCTCCTGTGCGCGACGGAGGACAAGACGGTGGAGGGAAATTCGCGTACTCAAGTCCAGAAAGTCTTCGAACTTCTCGCTACAATTCCAACATATTACGATACCCTCAATCAATGCATAGCGACCATGAACAACATGGCGCTCGTGAAATCGCTCACGGAAATGCTTCTCAAGGTGGGTGGCATGACGATTCTTAGCACGACACATCGACTCAGTTTGCTTCAGCTAGAAAGCCGTTTTGTCGACCGTGAATATCGCTGGAGAAAGTTTGGACTATCGATGGATAACCCTTGGTCCGATCTGTTGAACGAACGACGAAAAACTCTCTCACTCTTGCGCAATGGCGTAATTTTCTGCTCGAAGGACGCCGCCGGTAAGTTGGTGGCCGGCGGACCGGGTGTCACGAGGGAGATATTCGGGATGATCGCAAAACAGCTCTGCGATGCGGATCAACCGCAGACACAGCTATTCGAACTGGATGATAGTCACACGTACTCTCTCAAACGAGGTATCGATCGACAAGGACGCGCAGAGGAACTTGAGACGTTTGGTGAATTGCTCGCGTACACGCTCCTCCATGGTACCTTTCTGCCAATTCCATTCTCAAAGGTTTTCTTAAAGCGTGTCATCGGCGGCGCTTCCACGGCTTCGATAACTATCGAAGAGCTCGAAGATGTCGAGCCGCAGCAAGTGAAGTCGATTCGATACGTCCAGCAAACCGACGCCGTCGAAGAGCTGTGTCTGTCATTCATGGATCCCAAGACGAATACACAGGTGGAAGTGACGAGCAAGAACAAACGTGAGTTCATTCAAGTTCGTCTTCAAGAAATCGTGTCGAGCATTGTTGACGACACATCTGCGAAGTGCATCAAACGCGGTCTACTGAACTTGATCGAAAAGGAGTCCACACTCAAATTCCTGACGCCCGAGGAGTTCGGTAGCCAAATCGTCGGTACACACGATGTTGACGCCCAGGAGTGGCGCAAGCACGTCGATGACCTCGCAGGTAACCATGATCAAATGAAATGGTTCTGGAACGTCATCACACGCATGAGTGCGGAAGATCGATCGAAACTGTTGCAATTCTCTACCGGGTCGCCGCTTCTCCCCGTCGGCGGCTTTGCGAACCTTCAGCCGCAGTGGAGATGCTGGATCGACTCTTCTGCTCCTCCGACAAAGCTTCCGACCGCATCGACGTGCTTCAACACGCTTCGAATGGCGGCGTATCCATCCGAGGACGTCCTGGAGCAGCGCCTGATGACCGCACTCCGACACGGATCGACCGGCTTCGCGTTCGACTGAGCTCGAGGACAAAGTTGAAATGACCACACACAGCAGCGCGCGACACTCTCTCGACGCGATTCCTTGAAGCGACAGGATCGAAGAACGACGTGCAAAGGACGCTTTCGAGCGCTCGTACGAGCGAACGACGTCATCAGTCGACGTCATCGAACGCGCGCAACTGTCCAAACGCGCGCGGCGAGGATTGAGTCATGAGAAACCGCCCGTCGACGCGCGACGGCGGCGACGCTTGGGATGACGACGCGCTCGTGCGCGCGTACAATGACGCAATCGCGCGACACGGTGGGGCGCCATCGAGCGCGGACGAGCGGCAAAGGGAGGAGAGTCGGCGCGGGGCGAGCGCGGCGGAGCGGCGCGAGGACGACGCGCGCGGCGTGGACGGCGCGACGGTGCCCGCGTTCGATCCGAGATCTTTCGAACCGCGAGCGAGGCGCGTGGGATCACCGTCGTCGTCGCCGGTGCGACCGCCGCCGCCGTATTACTACGCAGAGACGTCTTACGGAGGGGACGCGTACGGTCGGCGTCCTTCGTACCCGCCGCCGCCGCCGCCGCCGCCGCGAGGATACGACCCTTACGACGCGTACGGAGGATACTACGCGAGAGGGGACGATTGGTACGGGCACTTCGAGGACGATTTTGCGGCGTTTTCGCCGTTTAGACGCGGTAGAGGACCGCCGCCGCCGGCGCGAGGACCGCCGCCGCCGAGCGAACGCTCGCCGCGGTATCATCGTTCACCACCAACCGCGCGATCGCCGATGGGTCCGCCGCAGATTCCGCCAGACATGACCGACTCGGCGTACGACACCGCGCGCTCGTACGCGGACGATGGGTACGATCCTGACGAGCTCGCTAATTTACTCTTGGCGTGGTACTACGCGGGGTACTACACCGGTTCGTTTTCGCGCGCGCCCCATGCGGGAGCCGACGAACCACGGCGGTGATGCCGGGAAAATAGAGGACGACGTTTACGTTATTAACATGTTCTTCGGTATTTCCCGCCGCTCCGGACGTTCTAATACAGGTCCTTGTCCGCCGACTTTGAGCTCTTCACTCGCTCCACCGCGGGCGGCGCGACGTGTTCCGTCATCGCCCGCTCCTCCGCGCGTTTCTGCTTCGCCCGCTCCCGTTTGCGCTCGTTCTTTCTCTGCGACTTCGACTTCTCCGACTCTTCGTGTCGCCGTCCCACCGGTCTCGGCTTCGGTATCGTCTTTCCGTTCGCTCGCCCGTCCGCCTTCGTCGCCCCCCCTTTCCCCACGCTCGACACCGCGTCCGTCATGTCTCGTATCACCGCCGCGTCCGACGCGCTCGGCGTCCCTCGCTCGCTCGCGCGCGTCTCGCGCTCGCGTCCGCTCCCGCGCTTTCGCTCGTGCCCCGGGCGCAGCGGGACCTCGGCGAATCCCTCCTCTCGCGCCACCGTCGCCGTCCTCGCCTCCACCGTCGCGCCCGCGATCGTCGTCGGCGCCGCGGACGACGCGCGGGCGACCCCGGGCGCGGGCGTCGTCCCGTCCTTGCTCGAGACGCACCCCATGGTCGACGGACGGCGTCGCGATGTGCCGCGTCAGCACCGCGCGCGCATTCGCACCCACCGCGCGTCGCGACCGCGCGCGCGCGCGTCGACGGCCCGTTCGCCATCGCGCGCGGTCGCGACGGCGCGGTGAATTTTTCTCCATCCATCGCGCTTCGGAACGCCGCGCGCGCGCGTCGAGGGCGCGCGCGCGAGGACGTCGACGGCGCGTCGCGACATTTCGCGCGCGACGTCGATCGACGTGTCGCGCGCGTGTCCGTCGCGACCGCGCGACGCGCGCGGCGTCATGGGCAAGCCCTGGCTCGAGGGATTTAAATTCGCCGTCTACCTCGCGGTGCCGATCGCGTTGACCGCCGCGTTCGCGCTCAGGCCGGAGAACCTCGAGCGGGTGATTCGAGACGTGCGTGGAATTCGGCGAGAATTCAAGCGCGCGCGCGACGCGAACGACGGACGATTCGCGCGCGAGGGACTGACGAAGCGACGATGATGACGCAGCGCGCGTACGTGGTGTACCCACCGGAGGGGGCGCGACCGCCGCGAACGAAGAGGGAGCTGGAGGCGTGGCGACGCGCGCGCGAAGAGGCGCGGTGAACGCGTCGACGACGACGAAGACGGACGGGTGGATGTCTCGCGGGATGCGCTCGGGGGTGGCGCGCGGCGTCGATGCGGTCCCGAAACGAGCTCGGCGGGTGGGACGGGCGCGGATGTCGGGAGAAAGGGGTGGCGCGGGGGGGGACGCGCGGGCGGATGTCTCGCGGGACGAAGACGGCGTCGTCGTCTTCGTGAATAAAAGATCGGGTGGACGACGCGGGCGGGAGGTGTTGAAGAGAATGCGAGATGTTATGAAGGCTCCGCATAGGGTTTTCGACGCGTCGACGGTGGAACGAGCGATCGAGCGGGGCGACGTGCGTTGGAACGACGACACGCGCGGGCTCGTCGCCGGCGGCGATGGAACCGTCGCGCTCGTGGCGGACGCGCTGCGCACGCACGGTCGCGAACCGCCACCGATGGCGATCGCGCCGTTGGGCACCGGAAACGATCTCGCGCGGGTGTTGGGTTGGCTCACAGTCTGGGACGACGCGAGACTGTTTGATCAAGAGCGCGTCGTGAGCACGTTGCGCAGAGCGCGTCTCGAGCGCGTCGATCGTTGGGCGCTCGACATCGAGCGCCCGAAACGATCGAAACACGCGAGCACCAGTAAGTCGTTCGTCAATTACATGGGCATCGGCGTCGACGCGCGAGCGGCGTTGGCGTTCGATTTGGCGAGGAAAAATAACCGCTGGACGTGGTTATTCTTCCACGAGCTCACGAACAAGCTCTTGTATGCGGTTTTCGGCGCGAGAGATTTCGTCGAGCACAGTTTCAAAGATTTGAGAGATGACGTCGTCGTCACCGTTGACGATCGCGTGGTGGATTGGTTCCCCGAGGACACGGAGGGAATCATATTGCTAAACATCAACTCGTTCTCGGGCGGCGTTCGAATGTGGTCGTCCGCGTCCGCGTCCGGGGATTCACAGAGTGGTGAATCGTTTCAAAAATCTCGAAAAGACGACAAACTACTCGAAATAGTCGCCGTGACGGGAGCGCTACACTTGGGACAGCTGAACGTGGGCGTGGCCAAGCCTGTGCAAATCGCCCAAGGCTCGAGAGTGCGCATCGAGCTCAAGCGTAAACTTCCCGTCCAAATCGACGGCGAACCGTGGATGCAGCGCGCGCCGGCGACGTTGAAGATTTCAGTGAAAGACTCGTTTCAAATGTTGGCTCGACCGCGGCGCGATCGCATGGTGGACCTACTCCAACGATGGCGTTCGCAAACGTCGAGCTACGACGAGGATGAGAGCGACGACAAACGCGGTGGCGAGCGACGGAGAAAACGACGAGAAACCCTCCGTCGATTTCTCGTGACGACGATTCGATTCGCGATATTCGCCATCGCGTGCGTCGCGTTCGTGCGGTGGTTGCTGCCATCCGCGGCGACGCGGTGGTTCTCGCGCGCGTAGACGTAGGACGTCCGCGTACGTCTCTTCGTTCGGCCCGAGACGCGGGCCCCAGATCCCCTCGACACGCGCATGTCACACTCGATGTACATAGACAAAGCATGCCACCTCTCCGCAAAAAAACATACCGCGTATGGGGCTCGAACCCATGACCACACGCTATCTCTCGCGATAGCACCGAACGAGGTGAATCGTTCTCAGCACGCGTGTTCGTCGACGTTCGCTTAAAAGGCGTGCGCTCTACCGACTGAGCTAACGAGGCTCGGGTGTGTCGTCGCGTGTGCATACACGCTCGATACATGACTCGTCGACAGGGGGTCCGTGGTCCACCGAACGTCACCTCCATGGTGTCGCAAAACTTACGGGCGCGCCGCGTGGACGCATCGCGGACGAATACACGTATGGTTTTTCGTCTCGCACCACGCCGTCGGGCGCGCCCCGCCGACGCGGCGTCGACGCACGTCCGCGCGTCATGAACGACGACGACGTCCCCGACGTCGAGCGGCCGTCGACGTCGAGGCGCGCGTCGTCGTCCTCCGTCGACGCGCTGGGGTCGAGCGACGCCGAGACCGTGATCGCGCGCGTGCTCGAGCACGAACGGAATTACTACGAGGTGTTGGGCGTCCCTCGAGGGGCGTCCGCGGCGGAGTGTAAGCGCGCGTACCGCGCCACCGCGCGCGTGCTGCACCCGGATAAATGCCGAGACGCGCGAGCGACGAGCGCGATGGCGGTGGTGACGAGCGCGCACTCGACGCTGACCACGCCGGCGTTGCGCGCGGCGTACGACTTGTACGCGTCGAGGGTGGACGTCCGGGACGCGAGCGCGGATTCGTTCGGGGCGTGGCAATCGAAGGAGGGACAGGCGGCGATGCACTTGCCGCCGTGGTTGATAAAAGCGATGGCGACGCCGGTTTTGGGGCAATTGATCGGGATCTTGGCGTTACTCTTGGCGCTGAGTCTCGGATTGTTCCTTCTCGCGTTGACGCTCGCGTACTTGGTCGTGCACATGTTCTTTTGGTTTGTGTGTTGCTTTGGATGCTGTGGGTCGTGCTGGCCGAGGTACGGGTTGGGGAAGAGGATACATGAGAAGCGTCAAGAACGATTCATGGAGATGATGCGCGATTACGAGCGTTCGGTGAACGAGGCGCGCGCGGGCGGCGACCAAGAGCCGCACCCGACGGTTTTCTTCGCCCAGTGGAACGTGGACCATCCCGAGCCGGATTGGGCCGAGGTGATTCGTCGTGAGGACGAGCGGGCGCGCGATAAAGATAAAGCGTCGTCCGGTGCGATGCCTTCGTACGGCGCCGCGTAGTTTTGATAGTTCTGTAATTTTCCACGCGGCGGCTGACGGTTACGGCCGCGCGCCGCCGTCCGCACTTCGCCGCGCCCGACATTCATGGCTGACGACGTCGACGCCGAGCGAGACGCCCCGTCGACGTCGTCCGACGACGTCCAGTGCCTCGCCTACATCGCTCGCGCGCCGTTTCATCCACAAAAACTCGCCACGGTGCTTCGAGACAACTTTGACCGACTCTCTCTGGGGGATGAAGACGACGTTTTCGACGCGAACGCGGACGAGTATCCGCGAGCGCGCGCGGGAAGCCTCGCGCGCGCGTTCGATGGCGTCGAGCGCGCGACCGGGGTCGTGTGGATCGCGTCGAGACCGAGGACGTGTGGGCGTTTTCTGTACTCGGGCGACTCGGACGCGAACGCCGACGAAGACGCGTCGAGCGGCGCAGACGAAGCGTCGTCATCGCGTTCGACGTGCGTCATCGTCGCGTGCGCGGGGGCGTGGGATGTAGGCGCGAGAGGGGCGTGCGACTCGGCGCGCGACGCGGACGCGCGAGCGCGCGCGTTCGCGGGCGGCGACCGCCGGCAGCACGTCGTGTTCGAGGGACGCGGCTTTGACGCGGCAAAGATAAAGACGTGTCTAGACGCGTGTTTGCTCACCGAAGCCGAAGATTCGGACGAGATCAATCGCGCGAGTGAGATGGAGTATTACTGCGGATCGACGTGGCCGTCGGTGAGCGAGGTCATGGAGGACGCGGGCGTCGCCGTCGTGGACGCCGAACAGAAATGCAAGGTATATTATCCACAGCAGACCGAAAGAAAGAGGCGAGGACACGATGAAGAGTCGGCAGCGACATCGGTGGAAGCGATGAAAACAACGGATGACGCGGCGCCGTCTTCATCTCAGTATTTTCTCGGTGGCGCTGTCGGAATTATCGAACGAGAGGCGTTTCGTCCTTCAGCCGATTCAGCCGCCACGAAAGTGTTCCCGAACGGCCTTACGGGGCATTATTTTCCGGATATGCCGTGCTTAGAGTGTGGCTCGCCTTGGTGGTTTGGCGAGGATTGGGATTCGAAGTGTTCGAACTGCGGTGCGGACGATCGTACCTACGGATCCGACCAACGTCCGATTCGATCGCGTCGTCGCACGTACGAGGCTTTCGTCGCTGAGTTACGACGTTTGGCGCTGTAATTGTACACATTCATTCTTAAAACAATAAGCACGAATTCCTTCATTCGTTTTAGTTTCTCATCATGACTACTCATCGAAACCGGTAAACTTATCATCGTTCACCATCGGAGGTAAATCGCACATCCAGTTAAACTTTCCCGTCTTGGCGTCTCTGATGGACGACAGTTCCGCGCGCGGCTGTTGTTGCGGAAGAAAGTGTAAGGGTCGAAGCTTACCACTGATAACGGCGTCCCAATCGATGGTTTCGTACCACGGATGTCCCTTGATGGCGCCGATACCTGGGGCGCGAATGCCCAGACGCAACGACTCGTCGCGAACGAAAATCTGCGTCAACATATCGTGCACGTCGTTATCCATGCGACGCGGCACCGGAACCGCGGCGAAATCGGCATGAACGATGCGCTTGTACAGCTCGCGCCGTTGGCGATCTCTGAACGGGGGGAATCCTGCGATCATTTCAAACACCAGAATGCCAAACGCCCAAATGTCCGCTGCTCTCGTGCACCCTTGGTGCAAAATGAGCTCAGGGGCGAGGTAATCTGGCGTCCCGCAGATCGTGTACGCGCGCTCCCCCTTGGCGAGCTTCTTCGCAAATCCAAAGTCGCCGATCGTGATTGAGCCGTCCGAGCGCAAGAGCAAATTCTCAGGTTTCATGTCGCGATAGACGTAGCCGGCGTTGTGAATGAACTCGAGTCCGAGCAACACTTGCGCCGTGTACACCTTGATTTGCCCGATCCCTGGCAGGCCACTCTGATTGAACAGATCGAACATGTCTCCGACGCAGTCTTCGACGACCAGGTACAGAGCCCATGGATCTTGGAACGACGTGTAGTAGTTGCATACGAAGGGTGCGTGTCGAAGTTCCTCCAATGCGCGTTTCTCCGCCACGCAGTGCTCCTCCTCGCCGTTCTCAATAATTTGCGCCTTTGGCATGGTTTTGATGGCACAAATCTTACCAGATCCCTTGTGTTTGGCCCGTAACACGAGACCAACCATGCCTTGGCCGAGGACGTCCGTAACCTCGAATTCGTTAAGATTCTTTGCGCTCTGAAGTTCCGTGAGCTGGGGACTGTGCGATCGCAACGAGCCGCTGAGCGCGGAGGACTTCTTCGACGCCGTAGCGGGCGGAGAGTCGATAATTGCCTTTTCCTCGACCAGAACCGGGAGGTGCCCCGTCGACGCGACGGACTTTTTCGTGCGCGCAAAACTCGAGAAGGGTTTGGTGAGCCTCGAGGTGCTGAAAACTCTCGAGGGTGAAGCGCTCGCACGCGAGGGTGACGGCGGAGACGCCTCGGTGAAAAGCGAGAGGTTGGGCGCGCTCGACTTGGTGGCCATGAGCCCGACAAGGGCGTTGTTTGATCCTCGCTGCCGGCCGTCGGCGTGGGGAATGTTAACGCCGGCAGACGCTTTCTCCGGCGTACCATCCTCTGTACGCTCCGGCGTGACCGAATCGACGCCGATGACTTGCAAGACAGAAGTTTGAGTGCACGTCAAAAGAACAACATCCGTGAGTGCGATGTACACGCCTTTTATCGTCGTATCTCCGGCCAAAATCTCGTCTCCAAAATACCCACCGCCTACGATCTTTCGCGTCTCCATCGAGTCGTCCCCTTTGATCGTACATTCGACCTCGCCATCCATCACCATGAACATTTTCGCCTGCATACCATCCCGATAAATGACCTCTCCCGCCCGGTAAGCGCGTCGACCTCGCTGCACGAGGAGCTCACTGAGAGCCTCCAAACTTGCGTGTTCGAAAGGTTTGAACACAGGACACTGAAACACGGCTTCATACGCCGACTTTCGAGCGTTTGACATGACGTTTTGAATAACCGTTGCAAACGTTTTTCGAGTGATTCCCAGCAGTACAGAGTCCTCGACGGCAACGAGCTTGGACGGTGACGGCGTGCTCTCGATGAGCACCTCTTCTCCCCACGTATCAGCCGATTTAAGGAACGTCCCCTCAGGCATGACTTCAATCTTACCGTCGATGACCAAGTAAAACGTATCCGCTCCCTCGCCTTGCTGTAAGATAGTCACGCCAGCCGGAAACACGAGGCGGGTCGCCGCATTGCTCAGCGCCTCGACGAGTAAGCCAGCCAAACCGGCGTGTCGCACCGCCGGGATCACGCGAAGCGCCGAGGCAAATATCTCGATCTCCCATGACTGCACGGGCGTGTCAAAGTCGATGTACTGCGTGTTCTGACTTCCCGACTGATCCTCCCGAACGCCCGGCAAAGCTTGCTCGGTGGGAATGAAATCCGCGTGTCGATTGATGGACATTCGCTGCGAGATCGCTCGACGATGTCGTCGCAATAAGAGCACTGACTTGATGTACGCCACGTCTTTGTCGGCCACCTTACCGTGGTGTTCCATGTCCAAAAGGAGGAAACAATTCTCCACGGTATCGCCTACAGTGAACAAATTTCCTCGAAGCACGCTCACGCCCCTGGATACGCATGCAGCGCAAAAATCAGCCATTAAGCCCGGTCTGTCGAGAACTTGCATTTTAATCTCCGTCGCGTTCGCAACGTCCTTGTCGTCGAAGATTACGCCATGCACGCTTCGCTCCTTTGACACGAACTCCTCGTCGCGGTCTTCCTCGGCCACCTGCGGCTCGTACAACAAATCCTCGGTATCCGCTCGCAGCTCCGTGGCCGCAATCGGCCCGCCCGGTCTATTCACCAACTCCTCCAGCTCGTTTCGCAGCTGTTCACTCGCTGATTCGCTCAGTTTACACCTCGAATCCTCCTCGCACACGTACAGCGTGTACAGCGCCTTTCGACTGTCCCGCATCACGTCCGCCTGCACCACGTTCACCCCACTGCGCGTGAGGTGCGTCGCGACGTCGCACAACAACCCCACTCGATCTCTACACTCTATCCGAATGAACGTGTGATGCTCATTCGTGACATTACTCACCGCGACGCCGAGCGCCTTGTCCGCCGAGGCGTTTGAACTCTCGCCCGCGCGCGCGCGCCTTTCGCTCTCCGTCTCGCGTTTTAACCATCGTGAGGTCCGGGTGCGACTGAAAAACTTTTGGAACAACCCCATCGCCCTCTTCCACCCTCTCGATCGCCCCACGCGCGCCCACGCGCGTTACCGGAGACGTTTAAATCCAAAACAGTTGGCTCCCTCCTCGACGCCTCGTCGCACGGCGTCGCCTCTCTCGCGCGCCCGTTCGCCGCCGTCGCGCTGCGAATCGAGCGCCGCGCGCGTGGATAAAATCACCACGCGCGTCGCCCCTCGCGCGCGCGCGTGGACGCGTCGTCGGTGGACACCACGCTCTGACGCGCGCTCGACGCGTCGCGCGCGAGCTCGCGCGCGACGCCTCGCCGACCGCACGCCGCGACGCGACGCACGCTCGACGTCGCGCGCGCGGTGAAATCACGGGAAAAAAACGCGCGCGGTCGCCATGCCTTGGTTCAACTGCGACTCGTGCGGGGACACGGTGAAGAAGCCGAAGATCGATGCGCACGCGCGGTCGTGCGCCGCCGAGAGCTTCACGTGCATCGATTGCTCGTGCACGTTCGATTACCGCGGCGTCAAGGCGCACGTGTCGTGCGTGACGGAACACGAGAAGTATGCGCTCGCGGCGACGAAGCCGGGGGGGGCGGGTGCGCGGGTGAACGCGGCGAGGGGCGGCGGCGGCGGCGGCGGCGGGACGGGCGCGGAGGCGTTCGGGGAGGAGTTCCTGGCGACGGGCCCGCCGTGGAAGTGCGCGTGCTGCAACGTGACGTGTACGAGTCAGGAAACGTTGTTAGGGCACGCGGCAGGGAAGAAGCACAAGAGTAAGGCGAGGGGGGCGAGGGCGAGGGCGGGTGGCGGCGACGGCTCGGCGGGCGACGGCTCGGCGGGCGACGCGAAGGAGGAAGACGAAGACACGGCAAAGCCCGAGTCGGAACAGAAGAAGGAGAAGAAGGAGAAGAAGGAGAAGAAGGAGAAGAAGGAGAAGAAAGAGAAGAAGGAGAAGAAGGAGAAGAAAGAGAAGAGGAAGTCTTCTGCGGACGACTCATCCAAGTCAAAGAAGTTGAAGAAGTAGCTATTTATTATTATCACAGTCGAACGTCTACCTCGTCTCCATCCGAGCATCGCTTGGATCTGAACTTCATCTGTTGTTTTTCGTTGTCGCCGACGTAGGTGAGTAAGTGCGGCGTGTTGATGAAGTCCACGTAAATCACGCTTTGCTCGCTCGGATGAACGCCCCACTTGCCTTCACCCCAAGGCGTCGTCAGCGTCCCATCAGCGCGGAGCTTTAATCCCTCAACACCACCCCAGTGACCGATTCCATTTTCCATCCTCTTCAAAATTGATTGGGCGAGTTGTGACTTTTCGATGCCGTTGTCCTGCGGGCGCTTCTTGCACTTGTCCAAATCTGAACGACCCTCTCCCCAGTTCCATACATCAATCGCACCCGCGGTGCCCTTCCAATACTGCGCGATGACGGAAACCATACGATCAGGCTTCTCCGGATGGTAGTTAATGTGCACGCTCGCCGGCCTGTGTAAGGGATAAAGTTCCTCGTCATATCGCATGTAACGGAACATGTACTTCGAATTTTGGAAGCAGACGTAGTTCATCACGCGTTGACTCGTGCCCGAGTACACCTTATGATTCGACTGACCCCAGAGGTACACTTGCTCTTCGTTATATGCCGTCTGATCCCATGTTTTGGCCTCCGTGGCCATGCGCTCCGCGAGCCTCGTCATCATGACTTTTGTCTCCCGCGTTGCCGACACGTAAAACAGACCGCTATTCCTCGCGACGAGGCGCCTCATACCGTTCCAAGCCCATCCGTACGACGAAAGATCATCCCAGCCATCAGTCATACCCTCGACATCTGCATCTCTATAAATCATACGCTCGTTGGTCCCTCCTGTCCCAGAAGCGAACGGGTCCTGCATCCAAACGATGTCCACGTCGGAAAGTAAAACGGAGGTGCCAGTGGAGATGAACTCATTGAGTATGCGAAACTTCAACCCCGAAGTCGCATGATTGTCCGTCGAACCCGTGATGGACTTAAGCTCCCTATGGTAATACGGTACGTCTCGTTCTTTGCACCAGTCTGCGGTTTCTTTATCCAGGGCGACTATGACGTAATTTGTGATGTTAGTCCGCTTCAACCCATCGATGTACAGCCCAAGCATGTAAAAAATATTCTTGTTGCTCACCGCCGCCAGAATCTCGCGATTCTTCGCCACTTTCTTCACCACCTGACACAATTCTGATAACTCGTCGCAACCAACCGGATACATCCCGTCCGGATCCGCGATGAAGCGCAACGGTCGTGGTTTCGGTCCCACTCGCTCTGCTTGCTTAGCGATGCCGCATTTCTCGTCGCGACGCACATGATCCTTCGCCGTTTTAAATTCAGGCGTCGCCTTGATGATGGCGTCCTGGTGCGCGCTTATCCCATCCCATGACGTGGCGCCATCTGGAACCTTGACTACGGTTCCACGTCCGCCAAAACACTCTGAATTTAGTAAACGGAAAGACGCTCCGGCGCGCTGACGAGCATCGTGAGCTGGCATGAGAAGTTCGTCGGTGAGCGCGTCGTCCGTTCCGTCAAACTCGTCCTGGCTGGCGCTCGATATCCACTCGACGAGAGATACCGTCGCACGCGTAGGGCGAAGCACGAGGAAGGTCGTCCTGACGAGCGGTATCGCCATAGACTGAGAGTATGCGGACCAACCCATTTCCGGATCGCTCATACCGACGACGCGCGCTCTGGTATCTCCATCACCACGGATCGTCCCGCTCACATCTGCACCGTCGTCGTGAATGGACAATAGCGGGTTTAAGGCGAACTTCGCCTCGGATGACGCCAAGACGACGACGTGACCTCTTGAGAGAACCCATCGAGCCGTGAGCCATCCGCTCGAGTTCTCCGACGAGCGTTTCGTCGGCAGGTGCGACGGCACTCCAGCATCCTCGCACACCTGTCGCTCCGTCTCGCTCGTCACCGACACCACCACCGACCTCGCGTTCGTCGCCTTTGCCGCGCGCACGCGATCGTTAATTTCACCTCCGTGCACGACGAGCGTCCCGCCCTCTCTGTCCGCGCCCCGTCCGAGCGCGTCCAGCTTCGCGCTCTTCGTCCCCCGAACCACCTCCGACGCGCGCTCGGCGTCGTCTGCTCCCGGAGACACGCACGCATTACTATCTACACCACTCCATTCGCCCGCCGTCCACGCGCTCGGGATCGACAACTCGTCGTCATCCGCTCCGCTCTCTCCGCGCGCGCGCTCCGTCCCGCTCGCGTCGTCCGCGTCTTCATCCGTCGTCCCTCGCGCCTTTGGCGACGCAACGCCGACCTCGGGGACGCGCGGTGCGGTTGATATCACCGCATCGACGCGCTTCGCGACGTCGTTCCCGCGATTGACGTCGATGTCGGGAGTAATCCACGCGCGCGCGTCCTGCGCGTCAACCCAACGCTCCGCGCCCGCACTCTTCGAGCGACCGGACGCGAACGCGGTGACGACGATGACGAGCGCGCACGGGAGAAAGACGCGACATCGACACGGGAAGGTGCGGATGCGCCGCCGCGTCACGGCGCGCGTCATCCGTGCGCGACGACGTGTGGCGAGCGAGAGCCGGACGACGCGAGTCGGTTCGCGACGGGAGCGAAGATGAAATGTGCGCGAAAATTGGGGTATGATTTACACAGTGGTGTGCCAACTCGTACCGTGCGTGTTGATCGCGGCGCCCGGTCTCTCGTCCCCGGCGGCGAATTGCACGGCGCTGAGGAGCTGCTCGACCTCTGGGTGCGCGGTGGTGTCGATGGTCACGTCTCCGCGAACAATCATCCTCGCGCTCGGGAGCTGCGACTCCGGCACGTTGTCGTCGTTCAGGCCGTAATAGTCCCTCGTATCGTCGTCTCGTGTGCTGAAATACGACACCTCCACCCCCGCGCCGATGAAGACCCCTTTCGAGTACGAGTAGTGATGGACGCCGACGGCTTTTCTCGTCTCCTGCCCCGCTTGATATTTCGAGTCCATCCCGATGAACGCGCTCCCATCGATCGATCGTCCGAGCGGTCCGAGACTCACGCTCGCCGTCAATCCAACCTTGACGCTCTGTTCCGTGAAGCACGTCTCCACCGCCTCGTCCGTGTCCAGCACGTACACCTGCGAATCCTCTTTATATCCCACCCCGAACATCCCCGTCGCCCCCCCCCCGCTCAGCGCCACCGGCGGTCCCCACGCCTCGCTGTTCGGTCGCTTCGCGATCAACACCCCGTGCGAGAACGTCCCACCGCCGAAGAAACCCACGGTGTACGACGTCAAGAACGCCACCCCGCGCGCCCGTCTCAAAATCTCACTCCCGATCTCCATGTCCCCGTCCGCGGTCGCGCTCGAGGTGTAATCCTCCAACATCGCGATCGCTCGCAGGATCTCCCGTTTCACCTGCAAGTGCTTCGAGCTCATCGCGCGCGGCGTGCGCGGGCGCGCGTGTGCGACGCGATCGTTCGCGCGCGTGGGTGTTCGCACCGATCGATGCTCGACCGGTGATCGACAGGCGGACATCGACCGGTGTGGTCCCTTTCGCGCCTTTCGAGCACCGGTCGGCGCGCGCCTTTCGATATCGCTCCGCGCGCGCGCGTCGTCGGACGCCGCGACCGCGCGCGCGGGGGCGTCGATGCCGCGCGCGGGGGCGGGGGAAGGGGCGGACGCCGCCGACGTCCTCGCGCGGCTCGGCGCGCGCGCGGAGGCGGCGTGGTGGACGCGCGAAGGCGCGAGTGATGGATTCGCGCGCGCGTTCGATCGCGACGGCGTGCTCGCGCGCGCGGGCGTCTCGACGTCGGCGACTCGGACGGACAGTCGCGGTGCGCGGTGCGTGAAGTTGGCGGCGCACTTGGGGGCGACGCCGAGGGGTGATGGGACGGTGCGGGTGACGGCGACGCGTTCGCGGGGCGACGCGGCGCGCGGGACGCGGGACGGGACGACGGCGACGACGACGACGAAGCGAGCGAGAGGGAATGATGACGCGCGATCGTTCAAGTTCAGTGGACGACCGGGGGACGGGACGAGCGCGTTCGTGGAGGTTGGTCGGGAGGCGTTCGAGGCGTACGTGCGCGGCGACGCGCGCGCGGAGTGGTACGCGGCGCAAGTGGACGTCGCGTGGGACCCCGTGTCCGAGGCGTGGGGACGGACGGGGGCGTACCTACGCGAGAGGGGGGTGAGCGTGAAGTGTTGGATCAACGGACGAGACCGGGTGGAGACGAATTGGCATTACGATAACTACGATAATTTGCTCGTCGTGCTGGAGGGCGAGAAGACGATTACTCTGCAGCCTCCTGCGATTGCGCCGGGACAGGAGGGCGTCGAGTTGTACGCCGCGGGGACAGACATGTCAAATCACGCGTTACCGACCTATCCAGTGAATCCTCGCACGAGATCGCGAGATCACCGTCCATTGAACTCAGCGGCGGAGCGCGAGTCGGAAGAATTGAAGAAATCGCACGTGCGAACAGTGTCGATCTCGGCGGGTGAAGCCATTTTTATTCCGAGTGGATGGCTCCATCACGTCACGTCAGAGCCGCACACTGTCGCGCTGAGTCACTGGTGGACTTCTGATTTCAACAAGACGCTCGAGCCAACTGCGTTCTACTCGGATGACTACGACGAGAGCGCTCTTTTCTCCGCCGATAAGCGCACAAAATTTGATTACAACGTGGTCGGCGACGCGACACTTTTCGACGGCGTACTGGGAAAGCAGAATACTTATTACTTTCGTCGAGCATTTGAAGCGGCGCTTGAGGTGGACATACGTAACGAAGCCGAAATGTACGCTCGCGGTGAGAGACTCCCAGAGTCGCCGACACCTGCAGGTCCGAGCGCGGGAGACGAGGACGCGAGGCGGGAAGACTGTGACTTTTCCCGGATGAATGACATAGAAAATCTCACGAAGAGCAAAATGTGGAAGCTGTTGACGGACATTCGCCAGAATCGTACACGCGACCGCGGACTCGGTTGGTTATGGACCATCACTCCGCCAGATGTACGTAGACTTTTTAGCGAGAGTGACGAATGTTTCAGTCTCGTCACGCTGCTCCAGAACGCCAAAGAAGATGCGTACGGCGGTAGTTACGAACTCGCACATAGTGTTGATCTGATTTGGCGCGCGATCGAGCGAAATTTAACGCCTCGCGACTCGGACGAGGCGTCGGCGCAGGAACAATGGAATAGATTCTACAATCTCATGGTGCGCGGATCTCCCTGGTACGACGGTTGGGCCGCCAAATGGAAGTTCAACGAAGAGAGACACCGACTTAACGTTGAGAAATTCTTCACGCCGATCGGCCGGTGCGCTGTTCCGGAACCGCACGCGTTCTCGCCGTACCGAATGGACACGCGCGACGACGTCGTGCGCGCGTTGCTTCACAACCAACGTCTCGCCTTGGCGCACAGAGCCGAGCGATTACTTCGCGCCACGCTCGACGACGCGTACGACGTCAACATCAGATTTCGAGATTCGACCGAGGTGTGATTCACGACCAAGCGACGCCCAAGTCGATCCGATCCGATACGCCGCCGCGCGTCGTTCCGTCTCCGCGGATAAACCTCACCCCGCCCGTCCCGTCGCGCTCGCGCATCACACGTCGACGCCCATCCATCGCGGTCGCGCGCCATGGCTTCCGCCGTCATCACCGCCGTCGCCGCCCCCGCGTGCGCGCGCGCTCGTGCGCACACGGCGTACCGGCGAGCGATGCCCCGCGCGCGCCCGTCGCCCACCGCGCTGGTCAATCGCGAGCGCCGTGGCGTCGTCTCCGGCGTCGCGCGCGACGTCGCGCGACGCGCCGAGGACGAGTCGTCCATCGGAGGATCCACCGCTGGGTTCGATGGGTTCTCCACCGCGACGAACGCCGCGGACGGGGGGCTGATCGATGACATGGTGGTGGAGATCAAGGATTGGCTCAAACTGCTCTACGTCAAGCGGGAGATGTCGTTCAACGAAGTGAAGTTGACGATTGGAATCGAGGACCCGCGATTGGCGGAACAGAGAGAGCGGTACGGAATTGAGGACGAGAGCGGGGTGAGCGCGGAGGAGAAGATGGAGACGCTGGATATGATTGAACGCGGGGAGCGGCCGACGGACGCGCGCGCGGTGGCGACGGTTTTGGAAGAGTTTAGGAATTGGCCGGGACTCGACGCGGAGATTGATACGACGCAATACGACGAGGGGCCGTCGAGATACGAGGAGATTTCTATGCGAGCGGCGGGGATCAAGACGGCGAATCCTAGGCGCGTGCGCGCGAAGGAAGAGCCGGCGGAGGAGCAGAAGGAGGGAACGATATTCGGATTCCTGCCCCTGTACCTGGTGAGCGCCGTACCCATCTTCATCACTATCGCCGCCGTCAGTATCATGTTCTTCAATTCGTTGCAATAGCTTGATCTAACCAATACACGCCTACGTTCTAACGTCGTCTCGCGCTCACACTGGAACGCGAAATGGGTTCTTTTCACGTCTCTGCGAGCGTACACGTCTTTTCGAGCACACTCGGTATCCAATCAAGACGGAGCCGATTATCCAAGACAAGACCGCGTACGTCCAGAGCTGACGCATTCTACTCTCGTGCACAAGCTCTTTTTCGAGGAGCCGCATCTCTCTGAGCGCCTCGCTCGCGGACTTCTCAGACTCAAGTCTGGCGTTGACACTTTTCATCGGCGTCTTATCCGAAACGTGTTTACGTTTCCGCGTTAGCTCGACCGTCGGAGCTCGCGATGGCGCCTTATCGGGCATCGCCCGGCGAACGACTGGATCGCATCGATCTTCATTGTACTTTTTCACCGATTCGTTGATGCTCGTGACGGTGATGTACATGATTTTGAGTTTGATGTACTCTCGTCGCTCCTTCACCGACGCGCCTTTTCCCGGTTCTCGAGGTAACGGAACCACTGGAAACGGCTTCACATTCTTCGTCTCGCACGTCATGCGTTCTACATGGCCCTCGTCGTAGTGTTTATCCCATTTGTAACCCTTGCCGTCGTCCAACTTGGTACCGTAGTGCACGATGAATGGGTCCTCGCTGGCTTCATCCCACGGTGTGTACCCGGCGTACAGCTGCGTCGATGGCATGACATTGTGCGTCAGCCCGGAGATGCCGCATCCGAAGATGAAGCCATACATCTCCGATATCCAAGGTCTGGGCGCATCCTCAGTGATGTACACGTCCCCGGTGCCCTTGTACGGATACCAAACTCTTTTGTCCATGCGCACCTTAACGGTTTGCTCGAGCCAGTTCGGCGTCATGCGCTTAAAGTCATCGGCGTCGAAAATCTCCCATCCACCCACGCGAGCGAGCCTTCGCTCAGTCTCTTCGTCCACAAACCATTTCGCCATACCGTTATCGACGCCCACTAAGTACCCGTATATCCCCGCAGCTGTCTGTCCTTTCCGCGCCGGTATCTCCGTAACCGTCATCGGCTTCAACAAAATCATATCCGCGTCCAGCTTGACCACCCACCGTCGATCCGTCCCGACATTCTGCGCCCAGTAATTCATCCCCCCGGGTAAGTTGTACGCCGCGTATCCGTCCTCGTCGCCGTATCGCTCTTTCGCGTACCACACGTAACTCGGCGCGTGCGTCGTCTCTGGAACCACATCGTCGTGCGCGTACGCCGCGTACTCCTCCTCCGTGCACGACAATATCCGAGTCAGTCTCCCTGGAGAGCCAATCTTCACCCAGGAGTCGTATAACGCGCGAGCTTGCCACGTCATGTACGGTTGACAGTCGCTCGAGAAGACGTAGTGATAATCATCGATCTCTCTTTGGTCGGTCGTCCGCACGTCCTTTTGCGCGTCGACGCGCGTGGACGCGACGCAGACGAGGACGACGAAGACCACGCGCGTTGCGCGCGCGAGTGCGCGCGCGGCGGCACTGCGCGACATGGAATGCGGTTTCGTGAGCGTCGCACAGGGCGGAGGCGGCTCAACGCGCCTACGAGCGGGACGAGTGAACTCGGCGAGATGCTACGGCGGCGTTTACGATGATTACACGCGCAGAAAACTTTGACTAATTCGGGTCGAGCATCCACGGCTCGGCGTTGGCGCGCTCGCGCTCGCTCGCGGCGACGCGACGGCTAAGTTTTTGCACCGAGCGTGACTCGCGAGCGAGCTTGCGTTCGAGTTCGCTGACCCGCGCGCGATCGCTCGCGCGAGCGTCGTCGACCGATTGAAGCGCATCTCGTAAGAATTCAATCGTCACGCTCGCTTCCTCGAGCATTTGCTCGGCCTCACGTTTTTCCTGGGCGAGTCGACGGATTTGCTCAGCCTCGGCGCGTTCGCGCGGCGACGGCGCCGATGGCGGACTCAACCGTGGCGTTTCTGGAGTCTCGCTCAGAAGCGGGTCGTCGAACATCAGTCTACTCGTCGCACCCACTCTCTCGGGCGTCATCGGGGCGTCCACAATTGTGGACAAGCCGGACGCCGCGACGACGCCCATGGCGAGCGCCTTCGCCGCTCGACTCGCTTGCGCAAACCGCTCCTTGAATGATTCCTCGTCGGTAGAGACTCTACGCGCGACGGCTGCACCGATGAACACGACAGCGGCGATGATGATCGCCGCGGTCACGGCAGCTCGAAGCGCGATGGCGAACACGGAGACCGCGGCTAAAATCGAACTCGGCAACACCAACAAGAAAGCGCCGGCGACGTACGTCGCGCTCGCCGCCGTCAACGCGCGCTTCGCCAATCCACCCCTCGCGTCAAACTCTTCGATCGCCTTCACGATGCCATCGACGAATGCCAGCGCGGCAGAACCGGATCCGTCACCGCTCGTCGACGGTTCCGCCTCGTTTCGCGCCAACCGCGCGCGCGCGCCTCTCGACTCCCTCACCTCAACCCTTCTCCCCCCGCGCGTCGATTTCCGCGTCGGTCTCGACCACTCTCGTTCGATATCGCTCTCCCGCGGCGCCAACACCGTCGCATCGCTCCCATCGTCGTCCCTCGGGCACTGGTAATGATAATACTGTTTCGAATCCTTGTACTTCCACCTCGGAAGTCCCCTGCACGTCTTCCCGCACGCCGCGCACGTCTTCGACGTCTTCGACGACGACGCCTTCGCTCGCGTGCGTTCGCTTTCGTCCACCTCTCGCGCGCTGTCCCCCATCGCCCGCGTCGCACCGTGCGGGGACGCGCGCGCGTCGCACCGAGCGCCGAGTCTCAACACCCACCGTCGGACGCGCGTCACATCGATCGCGCGTCACACGTCCACGCGCGCCGTGCGCGAGGCCTCGCGCGCGAGCGGTGAGGGAGGAACATGCGCGCGTCCGAGCGCGCGCCCTTGGTCGCTCGAGGCGCGGACGCGGACGTCGAGCGCGCGACGACGACGGCGACGACGCGCGATGATGGTGTTACGCCGTCGATGCCGGAGGCGTCTCCGCGCGATGGCGCCGGGGGATGGTGGACGCCGTGGAGAGCGGTGACGAGCATCGCGTCGTTGGCGCTCGTCGGCGCGTGCGCGCTCGGCGTCGTGGGCGCGGGCGCGGGCGGGGGGTCGGTCGTCTCGCTCGCGGGGTTGGGAAAGCGCCGGGAGGTCGACGAGGGATCGACGAAGAACTGCGCCAACGCGGACGGGGACATGGCTGTGGGAACGTATCAGATTGAGACGGCGAAATGCGCGGACGCTGCCACCGCGGGGTGTCTCGGGAAGAAGACGATGTGTCGCTTCTGCCAGACGCACATGGCGACGAACCGTAACCACGACTGGCCGCTCTGTCCGCAAAAGGTTTGCGACGAGCACGACGCATTTGGATGCAAGATGGATGGGAAGAAGATGTCTAAGCGAGAGGTCGCGTGGTCGATACTTCGTCGGCACGTCATCGAGCACAACAAAATGATCGATGGGATCTCTCTCGGGAAGTGCGTAGGAAACGCGCAGGATCAAAAGCTTGGGCGCTACCAATACAAGGATGAGCAGTGCAAGGGACCGCTGCCCGGTTGCCTGGGCGGGCCGAATAAATGCAGATTCTGTAACGTTAAGAATGCGAAGAAGGCCGAAAAGGGCTGGCCGACGTGTCCGATGTTGGTGTGCGACAAGTACAAGGTGAAGAGCAAGCACTGTGAAGAGCAAAAGAAATTTGGTGTACCGCCAGAGACGCCTCCAAAAGATTGGGATGGCGGCGCCTTGACGTCCAAGCTTGATCTTGATGACGACGACGACGACGACGACGACGACGATGACGATGGCGATGACGCTAAGGACAAGGTGAAGAGCAAGAAACACCATCATGCTGGAACTGACGACGACAAACATTCGTCTGTTGAGACACATAAGAAGCGCACGAAGGACGATGAGGACGACGACGATGATGATGAGATCAATAGGGCCGCTGAAGACGACAAAGACGATGACGATGACGACGACGACGATGACGACGACAACAACGACGAAGACGACAACGACGAAGACGAAGACGAAGACGAAGACGAAGAAACAGCGGGGAAGAGCGCAAAGAAGGCAACAGAACAGAAGTCTAGTTCATCTTTGCAAGCGGGAAAAAGTGAGGATGAAGACGATGATTATTACTCCAAGGATGAAGTCCCAGTTGAAAATGAGGATGACGATGAGAATGAAGATGAGGTCGAGTACAAACATCGCCACTCAGACGTTAAGCTTGGTAAGGCTGAAAGAGATCCAAGTCCAATAAACCTCGCCGAGGATCTCGACGCGTTGGCATTTGAAACATTTGATGCTGTTTAAGTATCTTTAATCTTCGTAGCGCGGATGTTTTTAGGCTGGTCTGAAATCTCAAATATTCATACAACATTACTAACGCGCTTCGCTGGACGATCACGACGAACGTCGACGCGCCGAGCGCCTTTTGTAAACGATGCTCTGAACCAAGATGGACACATCCAACACGACTGTCCCCAAGCTACCTAATAGCCACGGCAAAGCTCGCATAGTGTCATCGCTCTTTTTGCTGGCGAACAACACGGACATACCGTAAGACAGATTCGCTGCGACGGCGAGCATGAACATGTACATACTAAGTCCTTCGACTGTTTGTCGTCGTCTATTCTTTGCGAGTTGCGAGAGCCTTCCGCCCAAGTAAAAAATCGTCGCCAAGTACCCGATCCCCCTTCCGAATCTCTGCAACCACTCCGGATTGGCGTTGAACTCGCAATCGTTCGGATCCATGATATCCGCTAGCCCCGAGGTCGAGCGCGCGAGCGCGCTCGCGAGGACGAAACCGCCCACGGGTGAAAGTCCGCCACGCTCTCGCGCGCGTCCGCCGATCTCCGCGTCGCTCTCCGACTCGCTCTCACCCTCGACGCTACCGTTATAATTCTCCATCAACTCTTCCGTGATCGAACCCTCCTCTCCGTTTGCCCGCGTCGACGCACGAGTCGTTCGTCTTCTTCCCGCGCCGTTCGGCGCCTCGTAGTGCGCGTACTGCAACAGCAGCGCGACGTCGCTCAGGACGAAGTACACCGCCGTGTACGTCTGCGTCCGCTTTTGATCTCCGGTGGCGAGACATCCGATCAGGTTGAACGAGTCTCCGGCGAGCCACTGGGTTAGGAACCAGGGCGACAAGCCGCGCGCGGACTTCAGCTTGTAATTCTTCACCAACTGTGGAACCTGCGCGCACATCCAGCACGCGATCGTGAGCAGCGCGAGGTAAAACCCGACGAGCTCCTTAGTGTTGGTGACGCACTCTCCGAACGACCGACGCACCCACTCGAGGGCGTCGTCGGACGCGCACGTGCACCGGGTCATTCCGCGCGAGCGCGCGAGTGAAGCCGGGCGACGCGACGGGAAGCGAGACGAGAGAAACGGTTCGTTTTTTTCGCGATGCACATGACAACGTGATGAAAATGATAAAAATGATAAAATGGTTCGCGCATCAGCCGCCGAGCGTGCTCTTGAGCGCCACCTTGGCCCGCAGAGTGTTGAGCTGATCTTCCAACACGGAGACGCACAGGCGAAGTCTATCCATCAAACCGTGCTCGGCGCTCATCGCCACGGCCCGGCAAGAAATTAACGTGCGAAGAGCGGAGGGCGTCGACGCCGGGGCGACTTGAAGCACGGCAAAAGATAAGCGTTCGGCGCGCGCGAGTTCGCTGTGTCCGGTGAAACCGTCGGCGCGCGACCAGTCGGCGTCCTCCATGGATATCGGCGTCTCTATGCGCTCGATCGTGATCGCGGGCGCGTCCACCCACCGCATCGCCGTGCGCAGATCCCCAACTTCCTTGTGCGTCCACATACCGTCAATCTCCTCGTCCTCGCCCTCGCCCTCGGCGGCGCTCGCGGACGCATCGCCGTTGAGGCGGTCGCTCAGCGTCATCACGTCGCGCACCGCGTTCTCAATGTAATCCGTCACCTCCCGAACCTGCGCGAGCTCGGCATCACTCGGCACGTACGTACCAACGTCCCCCATCTGCGGCACGTGCGTGTACACCCCGGTGATGTACGGCTCGCGCGAGACCACGCCTTCGAGCTTCACCCGCGCCTCGCCCGCGACGCGAACCGTCGCCCCCACCGCCTCGCGCTTCACCCACTCGATCCTCGCCAACGTCGCCGACGAGTTCACCCGCAACCCCTCCTCACCGCTCTCGTTCTCAAAGTACGTCAACTGCGCGATCAACCCCCCGGTGTTCGCCCGCGCCGCGTCCAGGAGCGCCAAGAAGCGCGCCTCGTACAGGTGCAGCGTCATCGCGCTCCCCGGCAGCAGCGTCTCCGCGCGCGGGAACAACAGGCTCGGCAGCTCGACCGAGGTGAACTCCTTGGACAGCGCGGCGGCGTAATCGAGGTACCCGCCCGCCCCGCGCGCGACCGTGGTCCACGACGCGCGCCGCGTCCGCGCCCCGCGCGCGCCACCGCACGTCGCGCCACCGCGCGACGGGCGCGCGGTCGTTCGCGTCGTCGTCGGCATCGCGCGCGCGCGGCGTCGATCGCGGCGTCGACGATGCGGACGCGCGACGACGACGACGACGATGGTGACGCGCGCGATGGTGACGCGCGACGTGCGTACTGTTTGCGCACACGCGACATCGCTCGGCGCCGTCGTCGATCGCGGCGTCGACGCGACACGCGCGCGCGGTGAATCAGCGCGGGCGCGAGCGCGTGCGCGCGCGACCGGGGGCGCGGGCGAGGCGTCGGGGACGGTGCCGACGACCGCTCGGTGGATTCGCGGTGGATTCTCGTGGGATTCGGATTCGCGTGGGACGGTGGATTTGAATTCGAGCAAAGGATGAGCGCGATCAACGTGACGTCGGTGCAGGTGCTGGATAATCCGCAGATGTTCTCGTCGCCGTTGCAGTTTGAGATACAGTACGAGTGCTTGCAGGATCTGAGACACGGTGCGTGGAGCGGGGAGTGGATTCGAACGCGCGGGCGACAGCTGACGTTTGAAATTCGAGCGACGTTCGGGCGAGGGATTCGGGCGCTCGAGACGCTCGATCGAGCGACGCGCGCGCGGGTTGACTGACGGGAATGGATCGACACGCAGATCTCGAGTGGAAGTTGACCTACGTCGGGAGCGCGGAGGACGACGAGTACGATCAGGTTTTGGATACGGTGCTCGTGGGACCCGTCGTGCGCGGGGCGTACAAGTTCGTGTTCCAGGCGAATCCGCCCGACGTGAGCAAGATCCCGGCGGAGGATATCTTGGGTGTAACCGTTCTCTTGGTGACGTGCTCGTACAACAACGAGGAGTTCATTCGCGTCGGGTACTACGTGAACAACGAGTACGCGGACGAAGAGTTGCGGGAAGACCCGCCTTCACAGCCGAGACTGGATCGGGTCATGCGCAACATTCTGGCGGACAAACCGCGAGTCACGCGCTTCCCGTGCGATTTCGACGCGCAGGCTATTCCGGGGATGGAGAACGTGGCGTCCGAGGACGCCATGATGGGCGACGAAAACCAAGAGGTCCAGCAAGGCGGAATGGGCGTTGACTTCTCAAAGGACCAAGCGGGCTTCTTCCAACAGCAGCAGGCTCCGGGACAGACGCAGGGCCTGTGGTGATGATTGATCACGTGTAGGATAAAATCTAGCGCTTTACAATGAAAGAATGAATCACATGATAAAACTACGCCTCGACGTCGCAACGTACGAAGATGGGGAGGGCACCTATGGGCGCTTCAAAGTTGCGCATCCATTGCTTGCCCTCGTGGACCTTGCCGTTGGCTAATTCGCGCCAACGACCCTCGGTCAAATAAATTGCTCTTTCGTTCGCGCCTCTACAAACTACAGGAGCGACAATGACGTCATCGCCGATGGCGAACTGATCGCCGATTCGAAACGTCTCGCTGTCCTCCGGATCGAGCCACCACAACGGGCGACAAATAGGCTCTAACGTCTCTACCGCTCGTTCGCTATGATGTACAAGCGCGTCAACAAATTGATCGCGCTTCTCCAGCGCCCGAGCGACCAACTCCGTGGTGCCAGCACCGGATGACCAAGGCGTGAGTGAAAACTGCATCGCCGGCATGAGCGCATTCGCCTGCGTCCAACGCACAAGGAGCTCCTCGTCGGGATTCTTACCGAAGTAAGCGTTGCCACCGATGATGTCTGGGAGGCAAAACGGGTACCCAAGCACGCCCGAGGTTAAAAGCGCCGGAATAATGGATCCCAAACCGTTCTCAATACCCCAGTCGGAGAAACGATCTCCCATGCGAACGAGCGAGGCGTTGCCAGTCGTGTTATGGCCACTACGGACCTCGGCGAGATCGAACCGCGCGGCGACGTTATTCACCCAAGCACGCGTGTACTCGGATGGATGCGACAAAGGCGTGTGCGTGACGAAACGTCTGGGCAAGAAGCACGGCTCTCCGGCGTCAAACTTGAAGCCATCAATGCCATGCTTCTCTTGCAGACGCTTTAGTCTCCCAACGAACCAGTCCACGGCCTCCGGATTCGTGACGTCCAACGCGACGACCGGAGGTGATTGCCACCAGTTGAAGAATCCGTTGCGAATGCTGGACTTGACGAAATACCCCTTCGCGTTACCCTCTCTGTACGCGTTCGTGTCCTCCGCGATGAACGGCATGACCCATACAGTGACTTTGAAACCCATCGCGTGCAGTTGCTCCACCATCTTTCCCGGCTTCGGAAACTTAGATTCATCGAATTCGAGATCACCGTACGCGCACTGCCACTTGTCGTCGATCTCGATCACGCTCCCGCGCATGCCGTTATCCAAAATTTCTTGCGCAAAGTTCAGCACCTTTTCTTGAGAGACATTCGTCTTCATCTTTGCCCAGGTGGTCCAAATAGGTGCTCGGAGAACTTCCGACGGCGGCGATGCCTTGGGCTTTTGCAGCGTACCCAACACGTTCATAGTCGCGTCCTTAACATTCGCATTCGCACACAGTGCGACGCGCATGTGTCTTCGCGTTTCGCCCACGTGCTTCGGAGAAACCCAGTCAATCATCGGATGGTTCATGCTGAACGGGCCGTACCCCTTGTGAAACGAGTTTCTCGCCTGGAGGCGAAGTAGACCGTCGCCCTCACGACGCCCTTTACGAATTGGAAGTATGGTTCGCGTTGCATTCTGAATACCGACGCCGAATTTACGCTTGCTCATGAACCCGTCGAACCACGTCGCGTACGGAGCGTTCAGGCCGACATGGAAGTATGGAGTGTCAGGATCCGCGACCACGGCGACACCCTTACTCGTGACCCAGTGCGATGAAACGAGTGTGTTTAACCCATTTGGCCCGTTGTCGAACGGATAATGCGGACCAATCTCCATGCACCCTTCGTTCAACGGCCAGTGCTGCGCCATGAGGTGGGATCCGCCGTAGACCTCTCCGACGCGATCCAAATCCAACTGAATCTCCGCCGTGTAGTGTAAAAACCCCGCGTCGGCCACCGAGAAGTCCAAAACAAAACCATCTCTCAAACCCACGCACCAAGACGTCTCCTCCGTCGCCGACGTGCTCGGTCGAATCACTAACGACGCCCACTGTCCCCACGTAATCGTTGCCCCGCCGTTCTCGTCGCGCGTGACCACGCCATCCTCTGTCAACGCCAACGCCGGCAGCGCACACTTGGCCTCGCACACGATCTCACTCCCACGCTTCAACGTCACGCTCCCGCCTCGCGTCACCACCAAGCGCGCCTCTCCGCATCGCAAAGTCGTCGTCCGCGTCTTGGTCTTCGAATCCGACCCCCCGAACCATTCACCGACAGCGACGCGCTCGAGCCCCGATACCCCCGTGAGCGCGGACGCTCGCGCCCGTCGTGCCTTTGGTATAACCCTCGTGCGTCTCGCCCCGACCCCGTCGCCGTGCTTCTCGTCCTCGCGCTCGGCATCTTGCGCTCCCTCGTTCGAGTGCCTCGGCACGCCGAGCCGTTCGCGACTTTTCCCTCGCTCCGCCCGCGTCGTCGTCCGTCGACGCGCTCGAGCGCGGGACGTCAATGAAACAGAATTCAACCTCTCGATTCGCGTCGTCGAGATCATCGAAAGACGGTCGCTTCCTCCCGAACGGTGTCGACACGTGCGCGGTACAAATTTACTGTTGCGCCGCGTGCGCGCGACGAATGTGTCGACGTTTTCGACGCGACGTCGCCGTCTGATCGACGCGACGACGCGACGAGCGCGTGGATAATTTCTTTCGCGCGTTTCCACGCCGAACGCGTCGGAGAAGCTCGCTCGAGCGCTCGCGCAAGCGCGCGTGTGCGGTCGACGAGTGGCTCGGCTGACGTGGAAAAACGCCCCGTGCGGCGCTTTTGGGAGATCACGCCGTGCTTTTCTGTGGTGCGCGGGAGTTGAGATTAAATACTACGCCCATGTTCGCGTGACGTCGAGTTTCTTGGCGTCGTAATCGCGCATGTGCTTGGCGTAATCGTTGAAGTTCCACGTCGGGTCCACGGCGCCGCCGAGGTCGGTGTCCGTGCTCGCGGCGTGGAATATCGCGCCCATCGTGGCGGCGGCTTTGGCTTTGCGACGCTTGCTGACGAAGACGATTTTGGTGTACGTCTTCGGGTCGATAAAGGGCGAGATGACGGCCCAGAAGACGCGAAAAATAGTCGGCGGATTGAAGCACACCGCGAGCCCGAGGCGCTCGGGGTAGTGATTCTGTAAGATACTCAAAGTCTCTCGCGCAGTGGCCATCGGCACCGCGTTCTTCAACGACCACTTCGTGAAATCAATGAGGATGGTGATTTGCTCCGGAGCGAGATCGGCGTTGGAGCCGAGCGGCTCGCCCGGGCGAGATGATTTCCACAGGATGTTTTCTAAAGTGTAGATCAAGAACTTGATGTTTTCCACGTGGTTGAAGGTGTTCTCACGGTCCGGGCGCATGACGAGCACTCGGCGACCGCGCTTGTCTCGACCGCTCCTGTACTGCTTTCCGGTGCTTGCCTCATTTTCGATATCATCCCACGTCAATGCCTCGGGCTTACGCTCGGCGCGCCATCGAAGGGTCTCGATAAGCATCTTCAACGCCTTGTCAACCTTCCACTTGCGCGCTCTCAGGTATCGACACAAGCACGCGTCTGTGACGAACGCTCTGAGCGCCGGCGTCGCAAGTAAAGTCTCGTCCGTCGCCACGGCCTCATCGAGTTTCGTCCTGAGCTCAAAGAGCTTTTGTGAATCCTTCGTCGTCATGTTGATCACCGTGCCGCTCTGCGTTCGATCGATCGTCTCCGGCGGTTGGTTCGGCAGCGCCTTGGCCATTTTCGCCTCCGCCTCGCGTCTCGCCAGGCTTCTCTGCCTCTCCCTCGCCTTGCCGAACACCTTGCGATACACGTCGTTCGCGTCACGCCGCATGACCATCCGCACCACAGCGCCGACGCACCACAGGAGCGTTATCAACGCGACCGGCGAGAGCAACACAAAGGCGCACGCAAAGTCGTCGTTCCACGCCAATCGCTTAAACCGCGCGTTCCGCATCACCCATCCCGGCAGCGTCTTCCTCAGGTGCTTAAACTCCTTCGACGCCGTCATCGCCTTCTTATACACCCTCCACGACCGCATCAGCGACTTTTCGACGTCAACGACGACGCTCGACCGACGGATCTTTTGAACGACGCCTCGAACGGTCTCGAGCGCTCGAGCGCTCTTCGACGCGGGTTTCTTCCCTCTCGAGGCGAACATGGTGACGAACGCGCGCGCGGGACGGACGCGTAGGTTCACCGCGCGATGACGCGCGGGCGCTTGGGCGCGCGCGAGGGTGCGACGCGACGTGGCGCGACGCGTGATGCGTCTCGAGTCCGTTTTAAAAACACGTAGAACCCATCGGGACACGCCTCGCGGCCGCACGTCGCGACGCCGTGGACGCTGACGATTTGAAATGGAGACGTCCGAGACGAGAATTCCAGCGCCGACCGTCGCGGAGCTCGACGCGACGCGAATCGCGTCGTGGCGCCGCGCGTTGATCGATAAAGTCGCGAAGCGTGCGTCGTTCAGGACCGAACTCATCGATGTTCCGGAGAGCTTCGTTCGATATCTACTCGCCGACGGCGTCGCGTGCGGTGAAGAGGATGCATCGTTGCCGAAGCGAATCGCTCAGGACGCGTTCGACGCGAAGGAGAGCGCGGAGAGGTTCGGTGAGGGGTGCGAGGAGGATGACGCGGGCGACGCGGACGCGACGGCTCGAGAGGCGTTTGAGAATTTTACGAGAGAAATCGGTGCGGCGATCGAGCGGTTGGGAGGCGAAGTGGCGCCGAAGTTCGCTTGGAGTGCACCGAAAGACGCGACGTGGGTGACGGCCGGGAACACGATGAAGTGCAGGAACGCGGATGAGGTGGTGCTGCTGCTCAAGGCGAGCGACTCCGTGACGCACGATTTAACAGAGGCGTACAGGGCGTGCGCGGACTACGTCGTCGATGAGATGGAAGACGAAGAGGACCGAGCGGTGAGAGAGCACGCGAACACCGCGCTAGCGCTGCGAGAGTGGTATGATTTGAATCCAAGCATGGAGTTCCGGTGCTTTGTCAAGACGTACAACTTGGTCGCAGTGTCCCAGCGACACGTGAATGATTTTTATGAGTTTTTACTCAGAGAGAAGGAAGAAATCGAGGAAGCGATCGCGGAGTTCTTTGAGAATGAAATCTCCAAGCACTACACCGGGCGGGATTACGTCTTCGACGTGTACGTAACACCGAAGACGCACAAGGTGAAAATCATGGACTTCAACGTTTGGGGAGGAACGACGCTCCCTTTGCTCTTCGACTGGAACGAGCTGGAATCCAGGGGAAGTGACCAGGATTGTGTTCCCGAAGACGAGCGAGGTTGGACCGATAACGTTGAGTTTCGCGTTATCCAATCCCAGGGTCACATTCGTCCCGGTTTGCAACTCGGTGTGCCATTCGAATTGTACGATACCTCTGAGGGTGGTGCCATTTCAGAATTCATCGCGATGGAGGAGCAGCGACGTAGAGAAACTAATAATCAATAGAGGCCGCTGGCGCTCGAGTTGTAGTACTAACCTCCGTTTCAAAAGTGATGGCACTGAGCTTTGTTATACGCGTTGTCGCATCATATCGAGGCATGCCGTACATCGCTGGAAAGCTGTTGAAATTTCCCGTACGCTGGTGCACGTTCCCCGGTGTGGATTTGCGTGAAATCGCCGATGCATAGTGATTTCCATTTTGTTTCAAATCCAGAATGATACCGGTACCGTAGGAAAACGCGAAAAAAGTTGCAAATTTTGGAGTCCATGTCATCGCCCAACCATTAAAACCAAAAAAGTCAGGAGGTCGCGCGCGGTTGCGATATGAGAGATTCACGCGCGCGCGCGGGCGCGCACGTCGCGGTCGACGCCGTCGCGTCGACGATGCGGAATCGTCCAGAGCTCGTGGTGTGCGCGGTGTGCGCGGTGTGCGTCGGCGTCGTCGTCGCGTCCGTCCTGAAGCCGACGAACGAGAGCTTTTACCAGTACTGCGTCGCGAACGCGCGAGACGTCGTCGCGAGCGGGACGTCGTCGTCTTGGGCGTGCTCAAACGGAGGGGCGTTACGCGCGACGGGACTTCGAGCGAAAGCGTATGAGACGCGTGATTTATTTGCCTTCACCGTGGTGCGCGCCAACTCGGGGAAACATTTCATCGGCATACTCGGCACGTGGATTCGAGTTCCTCACATTCTCATTCTGCTGCCAGCGATCGTCGTGTCCACTTCCGTGTTCTTTTACCGCATGGATAAGCGCGTCACCGCCGTACGTGCCATTCCGGGTGCCCTCCTTTCCCAGAACCGCCCATCGGGTGAACTCGTCGAGGAGGCCGTTCTGCGTTTCGTGGCCCTCACCCTCGTGGGTTTGGTGAGCGCAGCCGTGGGTCTGGACCTGCGTAAGATGCAGATGTATGTCATCTTCAAGGTGGCCGTCCTAGGGCTCAAGGTCGCGCGTCTCTTCACAGGGATGGACCTGAAAAAGTCCGAAGCCTTCCTGTTCGGACTCTTCGTCGTCGTGGACTCCAACGCCATCATAGAGATAAACGATAGGGCACACGAGGATCTACCATGGGCGCTAGCCATTATTCTGGACGACACGGGACACGACACTGCCCGGTACTGGTTTGCCTTTATTGAATACTCTCTTTACTTCTTGAACCTGATGCTGAACCTCCTGACTCTTTTGGTTTTAATGGTTGGGCGAAAATCAAAGTGAAATTATCGTTTCACAATCTATCTCCCCCCCCCGGCCTAAGCGCTGGCGCGTGGTCACCATACGATGTTAAAGACATTGCCTTTAATGCCCGCGACGTGAACAATGTATGTACACGCGGACATGTAAGAATAGTTGCACAAAATTTGTCGACGCGCGCGCCGATGAGGAAAAGACACGGGCAACTAAGGCGTCTCTGAAAGCCTTGGCAGCTTTGAGCGCGTCTTATTTCCTCGGATTGTTGTATCGCGAGTAACATTGATCCTTCCGCGTTACGCGAAAATTTTGAAAAGCCATCTCCAGCCACGCCGCACGCCGGCGCGCAAACATCCAATATTCTTCCACTTCTGTTTCTCTTTCGTGCACAACCAAGTCTCCCATATCCCTCTCTCTTCGCATTCAAATAGACACCAATGTTGTTTAAATGCCGCACGGCAACTGTCGCTGCGAATCTCCGCGAACGCCATTTCGCAGCGAAACTTGATTCCTTCTCTGAGCCACTTCTATCTCCAAAATGGCACCCACGCAAGACGATTTCCACACCGTTGTAATTTGATCCGTTTGCAGGCGCGGCGCCGCTCGAGGCGGCGAAACGAGGTCGGGTCGACGTCATCGCCTGGGCGTTCACCGAGCGCGGACCGGTGAACGGGTTCGACATCGCGCTCGGGGTGGCGGAGCGGGAGAACCAACGCGGGGCGGTGGAGGTGTTGAAGTTCATCAAGATGAACAAGTACGAGCGGCGACGGGCGATGAGCAAGGCGGACTATTACGCGAGACGCGGCGGGGCGGATGAAAAGGCGCTCTTCGCCGCGCTCGACGCGATTTGGTTCAAGTTGTACAAGACGCACGCGTTCGATCGAGACGACGCGCGAGCCGAGATGCACGTGATCGAGGACTTTGAGGACGAGGACGAGGACGAGGGGCCGACGCGGGCGCAATGTTTGGCCAGGAAGATTTTGCACGTGATTGACGCCGAAAAAGCAGCGCTCTCGAGCGCGACGTACGTCGCGCTGTGCGACGCGCTTCGTGAAGTCCACGAATTGCGCGTGCGGAAAGAGCCAAAGTCCACCGATGAACCTAAACTTGTGTCCTAGTGTGAGTGCTATCAACAGCGCGATCGGTAACCGCCAACTGTTCGCGGGAGTGAACAGGACGCCGATGAAGAGCCCTGGTTCCAACACTTTCGCGCGCTCACCGATGGTTCCTTTCCGTTCTCCGTTGCAGCGCATGGAGGAAAACAAGGCATCACTGAACCTTGGAGGCGCACAGAAGATTGAGGAGCTCACGACGCCTGTGCTTGGCGCAGCAGATGTCAGGAGGAGCGACTCATCATCTGAGTCTCCGTCGTTGGGACCGCGAACGGTCCCAGTCATGCTCAAGGGAAGTCCAAGACCTGTTGAGGTGTACGTAGACATGGGCGACGACTCAGCCGAGCTCACGGAAGTAGAAGAAGAAGCCAACCCCATGGTGGTCGCTGCCCTCGGAGAGGAAGCCATGTTACGCACCAGTCTACAATGGCGAGACTCCATGGATCTCGATCGAACGATGTCTGGTGACGTTGAATGTGGCCAAAGTATAGATGACTTGGAGGCGGCGCGTGAAGCGCTCAACGCAGTTGCGGCCCTGAACACGACTGAAGAGTTCGATGGTGACTATGGTGCCACTCCTAACTTCGGCGGTGATACGCCTAACTTGGCCTCACCGTCCGTGTTTATGGATAAGGAAAACAACGAAGACTTCCAAGAGACGCCAGAGATGGGCGATGGCCCAGAGATGGGCAACGGCGCCTCCCCGATATTCCCGGTGTCACCTGTCGTGCACACGTCTGGGGGATACTCACCACGTTGATCGTAATAGAACACACGTGTAAAAGGTACCGTACAAACTAAAATATCTATTGATTCTTGTTGAAAGGCACGGCCGCGTCGCGAACTATGATGTTACGAAAAGCACCCGGTGCGTTTCGTAACATCATAAAGCACCCGGTGCGTGCGCCGAATCTTCAAAAGCACCCGGTGCGTGCGCCGAATCTTCACGATTACCGAGCTCTGCGGCTCTGATAGAAGCATCTGCGATCACTACGGCGACGCGACCGAGCCAGACTAACTCCGATACGCCAATGTACGTCCCTACGGCACCAACGGTCAGCACGGTACCGATGAATGCACCGGCATTTTCAACATTCCATACATCTTTCACGATGTTGACGACCAGGACGACGAACGCGACGACGTCGACGAGCATGACGAGCATTAGGCCGCTCGCGACGACGAACGGGACGACGAACGCGACGACGAACGCGACGACGACGCAGGCGCTCGCGAGTGGATTCGCTCGCCGGATCGACCGCGCGTTGGCGCTCCGACTGAGCGACGACGCCGTGGTTGGATCACGCACGCGCGACGACGAGGGTGGAGAGGGGGACGACGGCGGTGAAACGACGTCCTCGCGCGCGACGGCGCCTCGGGTCGATCTACCCGTCTTGAATAGCCATCCCCAGGCCACCGCGCAGAGAGCGATCGACCAGAGAGGCGCACCGATCGCGAGCGCACCCAAAGTCACCACGGAGAGCGCGGTGACGTGCACGCGGTAAACGTGCACGACGATCGCTGGAAGTAGATTGAGAATCTCAGGAACTCGAATCCACGTCCCTAGAATGCCGATGAAATGTTTCCCCGAATTGGCGCGCACCACGGAGAAGGCAAATAAATCACTCGTCTCGTACGCTTTGGCTCGAAGCCCCGTCGCCCGTAACGCCCCTCCGTTTGAGCACGCCCATGACGACGTCCCGCTCGCGCGCGCGTTCGCGACGACGTCTCGCGCGTTCGAGACGCAGTACCGGTGAAAGCTCTCGCTCGTCGGGTTCAGTACGGACGCGACGCACACGCACACCGCGCACACCACGAGCTCTGGACGATTCCGCACCGTCGACGCAACGGCGTCGACCGCGGCGTTCACGCCCGCGCGCGCGCGAGAGATTCTCTCCCGCATCGTCTCTCGCATCGCGCCCGCGCGCGGGGAATCGCCCGTCACACGCCCCAGTGAGCGCCTTCAACGCGCCGCGCGCTGCCGAGGAGTCGAATGGCGCGATGCTAGTGGTCACACCTCGGCGCGCGTGGGCGATGGGGCGTCTCCGGAATGGGCGGACGCGGTGTCTCGACGCGCGCGGCGTCAGCACGCGCGCGCTCGTCGCCGTGACGGTCCTCGCGCTCGGCGTCGCGTCAACTGCGACCGGGACGGAATCTGCGTCAATTCTCTCGAGCGCGCGCGATGACGACGGCGACTCTGGAGAGGGAAGGGACTCCACGCTCTCGTCATGGCTCGCAAAGTTCACGTTCGACGTTCCAACGCAGACGTTCAGGGTACCTTACGCGGGAATAGAAGTCGAACTGAGCGCCTTTCGGTGCTCAAACGTGTCGGTGGGCGCGCTGACAAGCGACGTGGATTCATTGGACCGCTCGTTCGGGGCCGTGGCGAACGACGATCAAGGCGAACTCACGGCGTATGTGAAAGACTTAAGATTTATGTGTGACCTCAGGTGGTCGGTGACGGACAGATTCCGGAACCGCGCGATCGGAGACGCAAAGACGGAGGTGGCGGGCTCAGACGCGCAGTTCTCTCTCGGGTTGGACGTAGATCCCAATGGCTCGCCACCGCTTCCCAGAGAAATCAAATTAACAAACTGCCGGGCGCACATCACAGCAACTGATTTATCATTCAATGGTGGACGTTTTGCCACGGTTTTGAACGCTGCATCACCCGCGATCAGAGTAGAGCTGAGTAGAACATTGAGCGCGCTCGCGTGCTCTGGCTTCGCGAGCGGTTTAGAAAACTTTAGCGGAACGGCGAGTGGTCAGAGATGGGAGGACGGTCAGCTCGCACGCGATGAACGAGCGATGGCAAGCTTATTTCGACCCGCCGAACCTGCGTCGTTTCCGAGGTACAACGCGACGGCTGGTGTCTCAAATCTGAGCACAAGTCCACTCGTGCGCTGGCTCGAGTACATGTCGGAGGCATACATCGGCGCGCAAGGTCCACGATCGGTGAGCGCGTTCGCGCGTTGGATTGAGGATCAAAACGAGCGGAACGATGAAAATAATGTCAACGTCGTTCGTGTACCCCCGGTGTGGTTGTTCGATTCTCAGACGCACTTGCCGAAGATGAGCTTGATGCAAACAGACATACAGTGTTTTACACGCGTCAAGGCTTCGTCTCGACGACCACTAGGAGACCGAGTAAAGCGCGCTGCGATTTGACGATCCGCATCCCGGACTGACCAATCAAACCCTCCACGTCTTGATTCCAAACGCATCCTTTGCTCATGGATTTCACCGGCAAGGACGTCACATCCTGATACCATCCCAAAGCGCCGACGTCGCTCTTACTGTGCTCGATCAACACCGCTCGTCCATCCTTCCTGAGCACTCTGCGCACCTCTTTAAGGGCCGCCAACGGATCCTCGATCACGCACAGGCTGAACGTGTCGACGACGAAATCGAACGAACCGTCCTCGAACGGTAGCGCCGTCGCGTCCGCCTCGATGAAACGCGCTTCGTCGCCGAACGCGAGTTCTTTCGCCCTCATCCTCGCGCGCTCCAACATCCCGGGCGATAGATCGATCGCCGTGAACGTTTTCACCCCTCTCAAATCGTACGCCGGCAGATTCAACCCGGTGCCGACCGCGAGCTCCAACACGTCGCCGCGCGCCGCGCGCAGCGCCTCCGCCCGCATCGCCTCCAATCCCAGCGCTCTCGCCGCCTCACCCCCGTCCAGATCGTCGTACGTCCGAGCGTATCCATCGTATCGCTCGCCCACCTCACTCGCTCGCCCCTCGCGCGTCCACGGCGTCGTCAACAGCGCGCCACCGCCGCCGCGCAACATCGCTCGCCGCGACCACGCTCGCCCCTCCGCGCGTCGTCGTCGTCCACGCTCGTTCGCCGACGTCGCGCGCGCGTCGACGTCGCGCACCGCTCGCGTCGCGCCGTGCATGTTCCCGAGACCTTCCGCCCGTCGCGCGCTGCGGTCGTCCCGAGCGCGCGTCAAAAAGCGCCGCCTCGACCGGGACGCGCCGCATCGCGCGTCGCGTCGCCCCCCGCGCGCGTCTCGACCGCTCGACGGCGTCGATGGCGGCGACGACATCGCGCGGGGGGCGACGCGCCTCGCGCGCCGCCCTCGCCCTCGTCGTCGTCGCCGTGAGCGCGTTAGATGGATGCGCGGGGTATCCGTATTACGTCGGTCGGTCCAAGTGCGGTGACGACGCGCACCCGACGCGCGGAGAGGGAGACCACCCGTCGATCGATCCGTCGGGAGCGTCGATGATTTCAGTGGAGAACTATTGGTCGAGCTACGACGGCTCGAGCGAGACGCAGGCGTGGGAGCGATGGGAGAACGCGACGAAGCGGCTCATGCCGGCGTCGTGGGACGTCGGCGAGGCGTACAAGCCGAGCGGACGGTTCACGCTGCTCGTCGATTTGACGGAGGTGGTGCGTGAAGAGAGTGGGTGGATGGTGTTGGTGACGTGCAGCGATGGGGTGTTCGAGGACATCGACATGCACGAGGAGCACATCGAGGGGAACGGGGGGTCCGCGAGCGCGCTGCGGTGCGACGGGAAGCGGCTGAATCCGTCGTTGCGGACGAATAAGCACAAGTTGATATGGCGCGCGCCGAGCGGTTCGTCGGACGTGAAGATCAGGGTGACGGCGGCGGCGCACTCGAACGGGCGATTTTATCAGAAATCCGTCGTACTACGAGCGGACGCGACGCTGCAGACGCCGCTCGAGCGAAACTCCACGCACGAGGAGCCGTCGCACGACGAGGAGACGTTAGTGGGCGATAGCAAGAAAGTTCCGAGCGTCGAAGCGCAAAACTTGGCGTTCGCGGTTCACGGGGCGATGATGTTTGCAGGAATATGGATGCTCATGCCCGCCGCCGTCGGCTGGTCTCGATTCGGCCGCCCGGGCCCGAATGATAAGCCGTCGGCGACGTGGCTCGCTTGGCACAAGTGGCTCATGACGGGCGCCGTCGTCGCGGTCGTGATCGCGGCACTCGTGGCGTACGTCGAGATTTCAAAGACTGGCGGCGAGCACTACGATTGTCCACATAGCCAGCTCGGTTTGTTTCTCGTCGTCGTCGTCGCGTCGCAGCCGCTCGGCGGTGTCCTTCGCCCGGCGACCCCCCCCGCGGGCGGCGTGAAATCCACCGCCCGACGCACCTGGGAGATCGCCCACAAGGGTTTGGGTTACATCATTCTTCTCCTCGGATGCGTCGCCGTCCTCACCGGGATCGACGAACTCGCCGAGCGCGGCGGCGACGACGCCGCGTTTTTCCACGCGTCGCTCTTCGTCGTCTACGCATCCCTCGCCGTCGCCGTCTTCGTCCACCTCACGCGCCATCACCGCGCGCGCACCAATCACACCGCTCGCACCGCCTTCATCGAGCTCTCATCCGTGGATCACGACGACGACGTCGAGTCGGACGCCGCGCCGCTCCGCGCCGTCCACAAACATCCCATCCCATCCTAGCCAAATGTCTCGCGTCACACGGGCGTCGTATGCACGTAGTACAAGTAGTATCACACAGGCGTCGCCCACACATCGTACAGCACGCCGCGTAGTCCCATGTACGTCTACACATCCCGTCACCCAACCTAAACCCTACACCGACACCGACGAAGATTTGCCCCCCACCGCCGAGTCCCTCGAACGAGTCATCGACTCATGAAAAAGCGTCCACGCGTCGGTCGGCGCTGACGCGATCGCGCGAATCACACGACGATCGATCGCGAACGCGTCGTCGCACCGCGACGGGCTCGATCGAGCGCACGTGGACGCGCGCGACGTCGACGTCGATCGCGTGATGGCTTCCATGGCGGCGCGAACGACGACGCGAACGGGCGCGCGGGTGGGCGTTGGGCGAACGGGCGAGCGGTTGGGCGATGGGCGATCGCGCGCGCGCGCGCCGGTGCGGTGGACCGCGGCGCGCGCGTCGATGGAAACGAGCGATTGGAACGCTGGATGTGACGTCGGACGCGCGGTGACGGCGGCGCGAGGGAAGACGACGCGGCGAGGGGATCGCGCGCGGGCGGAATCGAGCGCGTCGCCCGTCGCGCGCGCGACGGGCTCGGATGTCTTGGCGAACTGGAAGGGTGCAAAGCTGAAGCCGCTGGGATACTCCGTCTTGGCGGGTTTGTTGATTTATCTCATCCCGACCCCGGCTGGGGTGACGGTCAAGGCGTGGAACTTGTTGGCGGTGTTCGTGGCGACGATCGTCGGCATCATCACCAATCCGCTTCCGCTCGGCGCGGTGGCGATGATCGGGCTCGGAGTGAGCATGACGGCGGGAATTTTGCCCTTCTCCGCGGCGTTCTCTGCCTTCTCGAGCGAAATCCCTTGGTTGATCGCGCTCGCGTTCTTCCTCGCGCGCGGTTTCATCAAGACGGGCCTCGGCAACCGAATCGCGTACCAAATCGTGAGCTTGTTCGGTAAGTCCACGCTCGGTTTGACGTACTCTCTTGTATTCTCGGAGGCTCTCCTCGCGCCGGCGATCCCGTCCTTGGCCGCTCGCGCCGGTGGCATCTTCCTCCCGCTCGCCAAGGCGCTCTGCGTCGCGTGCGGCTCCGACCCGGCCAACGGCACGGAGAAGAAGATGGGGGCGTACGTCATGACGACTATGTTCCAAACCTCAACGATTTCTTCCGGTATGTTCATCACCGCCATGGCCGCCAACCCGCTCAGCGTGAACTTGGCCGCGTCCATCACCGGCATCACCATCTCCTGGGCGCAGTGGGCCATCGGCGCCCTCGTCCCGGGTCTCGTCTGTCTCATCTTGACGCCGCTCATCCTCTACGTCTTGTACCCGCCGGAAGTGAAGGAGTCTCCGGAAGCTCCCGCCAAGGCGAAGGAAGAGCTCGCCGCGCTCGGCCCAATGTCTTTGGATGAGAAGATCATGGCTGGCGCGCTCACGCTCACCGTCGGCCTCTGGGTCTTCGGCTCCAAGTTCGGCATTGGTTCCGTCGCCGCGGCCCTGTGCGGCTTGACCATTCTCCTCGTTTCCGGTGTCATCACCTGGAAGGAATGTCTCGCCGAAGGTCCGGCTTGGGATACGCTCGTTTGGTTTGCGGCTCTCATCGCGATGGCTGGCTACCTTAACACATTCGGCTTGATCCCAGCCTTCTCCGCCGGCGTCGTCAACGTCGTCTCGGGTCTCGGCTTGGCGTGGCAACCCGCCTTCGTGATCATCACACTCGTCTACTTCTACTCTCACTACATGTTCGCCTCTGGTGCGGCGCACATCGGTGCCATGTACAGCGCCTTCTTGTCCGTCCTCATCGCGTGCGGCGCGCCGCCGCTCGTGTCGGCTTTGGTGCTCGGCATTCTTTCCAACGTCATGGGCTGCACCACGCACTACGGCATTGGCTCCGCGCCGCCGTTCTTTGGTGCCGGCTACGTTCCGCTCGCCACCTGGTGGAAGATTGGCTTCGGTATGTCCATCGTCTACATCACGTGCTTCCTGGGCATCGGTTTCCCGTGGTGGAAGATCTTGGGATACTGGTAGGCGCGACCCGCGAGCAAAATCTCTTGCAAAGGCTCAATTTGGACGGAAAAGGATCTGTTCATCTTATAATAATACTCAAAGAACGTTATTCTACCGGTACCGAAGAACAATGTGCATCGCGGCGAGGAGACTACGATCTACGGTAGAATTCCATGTCCGCCGCGGCTTGAGCTGCGTCGACGTTGTTGATCGTCGCGAAACTGTCGCGCATTCGTCGCCCCGCCTCGATTTCGTTCTCACTCGCACCCTCCGGAACGAACGCGAACACGCTATACAAACGACCGGCGTACACCGTCACGGAGGCAAAAATGTTTCCGAAAAACCCAACCAAGTCGTAATCGACGTACGTCTGCCCGTCGACATCGCGATCCTTCGTCACGAACGAATCCGCACCGACGATCGCATCCTGAAGGTTGTAATCACTCAGTGCTAGATCACTGATGATTTCCTCTCGCACCGTCTTGAGCTTCCCGTAACCTGGCAGCGTCACGGCGTACACCTTGGCGCCCGTCTTCTTCGACTTCCACCGATTATCCGTCCCGTTCGTCGATTTCTCCACCTTATTCACCGTGTCCCTCTCGAACGACTCCGGTATGTCGTAGTAATATTTGAACTTGTCGAAGTTGTTCTCGTTCCCGCCGTACCCGCCGTACGAGCTCGAGGACGTGGCCTCGCCGTAGAACCGCGCCCACCCGCCGTCCAAGGGCTGCGGGTTCACGATCGTCTCCTGCGCCGCGCGCGCCTTCCGGTCCGAGGCGAACACCGTAAGCGCGCTCGCGATCCCGATCGTGAATTCTCGGCGCGTGGACGCCCCGGCGTGCGCTCGGGCGAGATCGCAGTGAACGACGACGTGGCCGCGCGCTCGACGACCGCGCTCGTTTCGGACCGCGCGCGCGGCGACGATGGCTGCGTTGAGCGAGGTCGAGGTAAACATGGCGCTCGACGTCGGGCGAGGACGCGCGCGGGCGCGAGCGAGAGTGAGGCGGAAGCGTACTCGACGAAGCTCGCGCGCTGAGGTGGCGAGTCGCGCGCGCGACGGAGGGAGCGCGGGGATCGGCGTGTGGGGACGGAGGAAGGACGCACAGATGCTGGAAGACATATCGTATAACTCCACTCAAGAATGATGAATGAGTGCGAGTGCATCGCTACGTGCAGGCGCTACAAGTCACATTACGGACCAATTCCACTCTTGACCTCTTTACTTCGTGTTGAGAGACTTGTCAGTGTTCGAGGAACCGCCAGAGCCCGCCAACACAGCACCGTCCAAGTAGGCATCGGCCAATTGGATGCGCTTGATGTTTTCTTGCTCGTTTTCGATCTCCTTACCGTAGGCCAAGAGGACTTCGAGGGTCATGGCCGGCGGTTCGAAGACAACTTCTTCACCCTTGCGCGGGTTGATGAGGCGCTTGCCGAGTTGATCATAGCCAACAGAGAGGATGAAGTCACGGACCTTGTCGTCGTACACGCGGGCACGGAGGGCACCGAAGAAGTCAATGGACTGGCCTTCGAAGGTGGAGACAAGGACTTCGACGTCTTCCGGGGAGACGCCGTCAGCCATGAAGATACCGTTGGCAATGCCGACGCGATCTTCAAAGGTCGGGGACCAGTAGAACTTGTCCATACGGCCGTCACGAACGAGCGGCGCGTAAAGGGTGGAGAAATCGTTACCGGTGGCGATGATCGGCACACGCGGGATCTCGATGACTTCGTATTGGCCCGGCAACTGGACGTTGGTAGGGTTGTCGGCGATGTTCATGAGCGTCGCGTTCACCATTTGGTTGTTCACGGTGTACTGCGTCGTGCCGCCCATACGACCGGCACCGGCATCGAGATCGTTGATGAAGAGCGTGGACATACGGCCCTTCTTGACGATGTCGGACGCCTCGCGGTAACGTTGACGAACGAGCTTGGCGGGCTCACCGGCGTTGCCGGATTCGAGCTCACCAGCGGACATCACAATCGGGTTGATACCGAGCTTGCGGAAGATCAAGTCGGACTGGAAAGTCTTACCTTGACCCTTACCACCCCACACACCGAGGATGAGCGGGACCTTGATCTTCGGGAGTTGCATGAAGTTCTTCGCGATGTGCACGACGACCTTATCCATGTAAGACTTGGAGATGTAGAAGTTTTCGGCGGTGATGTTGTCGTGACCGTCGTACGTCTTCATGCCCGCGGACAAGTAGTCTTGGGAAGACATAACGGCGTTGTGGGTACCACCGATACCGGCACCACCTTGGAACTTGGAGTCAACCATGTTCTTACCGCGCGCGATGTCTTGTTGGTCGTCGGAGATGTCCATGTCCATGCCCTTCCAGCGGCTCATCTCAACCTTGGAGCCGTTGGAGACGGAGGACACGCGCGCGCCCAAGAAAGTCTTCGGCGCGACGGCGCGCTTCGTCGTCGCATTAGCCTGTCGCATCGATCGGAAATATCGTCAGTCCACATTCGCGCCCGTCGACACGCTTCGAGCGATTACCGAACCCCTCATTCACCCCTTTCCCGCGCGCGCGCCCGTCCACCGCGCGCGCGCGCGCGCGAAACGCGCGAGACATTTTTCTCCACCCCCACCCCGCCCCTTCACCCACCCCTCATCGCCCACCCGCGCGCGCGCACCCCAGAGATGGGGCCATCGCGCGCCCCCGCGACCCCCCTGCTGGTGTGGATAAACATCCCGCGCGCCCCCCCCCGCGGGCGAGCGCGCGACGTCGCGCGAGACGCCGCATCGCGCGAGCACGCGCGCACCTTAACGCCGCATCGCGGCTGCGTGATCGTGGACATGGTCGTCGGTCGTCGTCGACGCGCGAGTATGTCGCGTCGCCCGCGATCGCGTCGAGGGCCTCGCGCGCGATGACGTGGTGCCGCGCGCGCGCGACGGGCGACGGGTCCGTACTGTGTGCGATTTTAACCCATATATGTACGCGCGGGGCACGTACACGCGCGCGACGGGCGACGGGTCCGTACTGTGTGCGATTGTAAGCCATAAACGTGCGTGCGGGGCACGTACACGCGCGCGCGTCGAGAGATCTCCCTTGATGGCGTCCACGTGTACGTCATACGACCCGCGCGTCCGAGTATGAGGAAATGGGAATGGAAAATAAGGTCCGCGTCGGACGCATGAGACCCCACGGCCGCGGCGTCCCGTCGCCTCGCGCGTCGAGACGTCGACGGGACCGGGATGAAACGCCTGTTCGGCGCCAAGCGCGCGGCGGCGCCGGCGCGCACGCTCGACGCGACGTCGGCGTCGATCGGGGCGCGGTGCGACGCGATCGATGGGAAGATCGACGCGCTCGATCGCGAGCTGGCGCGACATCGCGCGGCGATCGCGCGCGCGCGTCCGGGGGCGGCACGAGAGGCGGCGAAGCGCCGGGCGTTGGTGATTCTGAAACAGAGGAAGCTGTACGAGACGCAGCGGGAACAGCTGTACGGACAGCGGTTTAATGTGGAGCAAATGGCGTTCGCGAATGAAAACGCGAAGGACGCGGTGGACACGGTGAAGGCGATGAAGGCGGCGGCGAAGGAGTTGAAGACGCAGTTCAAGGCGAAGGAATTTGATTTGGGGGAGATTGATGCGTTGAACGACGACATGGCGGATCTGTTGGATCTCGGACGGGAGATTCAGGAGTCGCTCGGGAGGAGTTACGACGTCCCGGACGGCTTGGACGAGGACGACTTGCTCGAGGAGCTGGACGCGCTCGAGTTGGACATGTTGGAGGAGGACGCGGCGCTCGAGGGTGGGGTGCCGAGCTATCTGCAGGATGACGCCCTACCAGAGGCGCCCGACGAAGAGCCCGTCGTCTTGCCCGAGGCGGGCGAGGGTAAGGGCGAGAGCGAGACGACGCCGGCTGTGAGGGACGCGGCGTGATAGGATTAGTGTGTTTTTTTGTTGTACCAACCTACGAGCTATGTGACTAATGGTGCGCGATCGTGAAATTCTTTTCGCTCGCGCGTCGCCAGAATAACATGGAGCACTCGAGCCAGTGCGGGGTCACCGCGTGTATTCCACCGCGTTTGAGCGCCTCTCGAACCTTGGCCGTCGCTTTCGAAGTCCCGACGACGTGTGTTGTATGGCTCGTTATCTCACTCGAGCAATTTGCGCCAAAATTCTCAGCCAGGATCCACAGCGGTTGCTCCTCGGGTTTCACGTGTAACGGGAAGACTCGACTGAAGACGACGTGCACGCCAGAGAGGACCACCTTGCGCCGTTCTTCTAATATGTCTTGCATGCACGGCGATTTCTTTCCCTTCAGAGCGTCTCGGCGCTTGAAATACTCCGCGTGTACGGATTCGAACACATTTATCGCCGTCATCAGCATTCCTTCGCTCTCGCTCTCGTCCTGCCCCACTTCGAGGAGCGATGAACCGAGTAATCCAAACTGTCTACGCGCCTGCGGGAAGAATAAGTAACGCTCACAAGTGAACAAACTTTTTAGGTTTTGAGCCCAAACGTCGGTGGTATCGTCGAAGATGACGGAAACATCGGTGAGTTCACCCAAACCGCAGTCGTCCAGACTCTTGTACCGCGGCGCGATCAACCTGCCGTTCTCCATCTCTCCGAGCCCCTTGACGGTGCCATTTATCCACTTCTTCGCTGGATCGAGTAGAGCCACCATCTGGTCTGCGTATGCTTGCGACCCCATGGTACTGATGTGAATCTCAAACAACTTGGACGCGCGCTCGAGAAAACTTCTGACGCCCGGGCGCAACTTTGTGAACAGGTCGAAATGCGGCAAGTGAAAACACGATCTCTGGAGTGGATCCCCTGTTCTTTCCGCTCGAGCGACGTCGTGATCCAGCAGGCGCATCGCATTTTGTAAAGAATTTGCCTCCGTTCGAAGCGAAGGCACCAAAACGCTGTTCAAAAGCGTGTGATCCAAGTCTAAAACCAGCGCTAACTTGCGCGCCTTGATCAAACGCGAGAGTTCCGGATGGTCGCTCTCATCCCCACCAACACTCAGACGCTTCTTCGTCTTCGAGCGTTTTTTGTCCTTGATTTCCGGAGAGTTGACGTTATTGAGAAATGTCTCCTTGGCGTCATCTTGGACCCGTGCGATACTCTCAATGCTGTCGAACTCACCGCCAGCCATCAACTCGTGACTCGTCGCTCGAGGCTCAATTTTTTCAAATTTCATCGTCTTCGCCTCGTCTCCCTCCTCGTGCGTTTCCTCGGAGTCGAAGAAAAGGTCCACTAGACGGGGAAGCTCGCCGTCTTCTAGCTCATCCTCGCACGAGAGATACACATCGTCATCCTCATCTTCGTCTGTGGAGGACTCTGGTTTCGGCATCCGCAATTTCTGTTCTCTACTCGTCTTCGCTGACTCAGGAGGCGGATTTGACGGTGGTTGCGGTGGCGGTGGAGCGCAATCTTCGCTCGGCGACGGCTCAACCTTCGGACGCGATCGCTTGGCTTTCTTCTTCGCGAGGACGTCCGCGGGCGGCGGCGTCCCGGCGGGTGGTTTCGGCGGCGGCGGTATATACTCGCCCTCTTCCTCCGACGAAGACGCATCCGATGCGCGCCGCTTACCATTACTTTGCGTTTGATCGAACCTCCACTTCGCCACCTCCGACGCGGGCGGTTTCTCCGACGGCGGCTTGGGCGGTTTCGGCGGCGGCGGTTTCGGCGGTTTCGGCG